TGCATTCAAATGTGCAGAAATGTATTCTCTATAGAGGATGTGTAATTTATTTTCACTTAGAAAATCAACAAAATATGCACACATAAACAAAAACCCTGTTTAATTTGATGCAAAAATAAAATCTAAGGGTTTCGCTACATAAAGTATACAAATGTCATACATAGACCTCAAAACAAATACAAGAAAAATGTAGGATATAGGCCCTTTAAAGCAGCAGTACTAAACTCTAGTCATGAAGGCCTGGTATCCAGCAAAGTTTTGTACTTGCCCTCCATACAAAACACCTACTAAACACCTACTTAACAGATGAGTTGATTTAAGTGTGTTTGAGTAGGGACTTCATCAAGAAGACCTCTGCTTTAAAGGATTTGATCCTAATCAGCCTCTGAGTCCTCCTCTCAGCCACCCTCTTGTCTGTACACTAGATGGCGCTTTCGTCTCAATGTTTGCAGCAGTGCTCAACCGTGTGTGAGCTGTACTTATTGACTGCTCCATCAGGAAGTTCAGTGAATTCAGTCTTGATCACAAGTTCACACTTGACTGAAGTGAAACAAATTCCACCAGGAATGGTTTAATTAGGGATCACTGTAGTAGGGCAGCACAAACACAAGTCATATGCATGTCATTCCTTTAGGAAACAATGGCACTGTGTAGCTTGGTGGGTTTGAAACTGTTAAAAACACAGTGCCTGGTTAAGTCTGTACATTTGTGATATGTTTTTGAATATCTCCATCTAATCAAACTATTGGTTCTATGTTTTGTTTGCTGTTTTGTATGTATAACTATCTTTTGTTTTGACCAGCACAAATTCCACAGCACCATGATTGAAATTATTACAAGGAAGTTTCAATAATGCGTAACATAACAGGCTATTGCTCCACATGACAACAGCCATGGGAGAAGGACAACAGTCCCTGTACACTTACTGTCCATGTTTTTTAGAAACATCTACCTTGTATGTCCACTTAAAGGTCACTTTATCACAGTCACCCACCTTATATGTCACTATATAGGTGTATAATTCCTAATTTGTTTGAAAAAACAAATTAGATATGCTGGACAGGTTATTGTTAAATAACCTATTCCAAAGCATACATTTTAAAAAGAGTGTTATTTGCGACTCTAGCAATTATTTTTAGTAATTCCAAAGCAGACTCTCCCTCTGGTCAGTCTTATAATGGATTAATCCATGTTGTTGCATGGTGACACAATTGTGTAAAGACAGACTGGTATGAATAAGGCAATTAAGCAATAATCTAAACAGTTAAAATAGATGGTTCTTATTCCGTAGTATAGGCAATGGCTCTGTTTAGAACCATGAGTTCTACACTCTCAGAAAAAAAAAACGTTGGCAGGTATGAAACTGTTACTGGGGCAGTACCCCTCTTGTCACTGGGGTGGTACCCTCAAGGGTACATCTCAGTACTTTTAGTTGTACCATATCCCATTGAAATTATATTTTCCAAGTTGTATTGACTCCACACACCCCGTCTCGTCTCCAGGCTTTTATTTTATTGTTCTGTTTTAAAACATCAGGTTATGAAAAGGTACAAATACATACTTTTCAATTGGGGAAAACGTATTTAAGGTACACAATTGGACCTTAAAACCACTGTTGTACCTTTGGGTGTACATTTACATTGTTCGTACCTTAATGAACAAAAAATGTAGCGGCACAGAACCTTTATTTCTAATAGTGTATGAAAGCTAAAACTGCTGTAGCAAAAATATTTTTTTTTTCACAGAGCTTAAAACTACATAAAAAGAATAAAACTCAGTGAGTGTAACAGATTGACATTTTAACTATGAAAAAACCGAAGCCGCATGTGAAAGGTTTATTTGATGTTAAATTTGTAAAATGTACAGATAATTAATTTTCTCTTCCATAATTTTCTATAATTTTACTATTAGCACTTAAGGCACATTTTTTTTGCATCTTTGAACGTGAAGAAATCCACACCAGCAGTAATGCATGTTTGCACTTGATCAGATGCCGAATTCGTGTGTGTGTGTGTGTGTGTGTGTGTGTGTGTGTGTGCGTGCGTTGCTGGGGTTTTACACGCCTCAGTGCTGTGTGTAATGCAAGAGTGGTCAGAAAACTGACCACAGATAAAGGGTACACTACAGTGCACTGGCAAGGTGGACCTACAAGGTATGTGTTTCTAATAAAATGACCAGTGAACATATAGCAATATATGTGAAGGACACTACACTTTTATAATTACTAATTATAGTTAAAATAATTATAATTAAACTGAATCATAAGTAAACAGAGCATCTTCTGACACAAAGGCTGCCAATTACAGCTGAAACCGAGTTGGCAATTTTCTAACACCACCCTGCCATTTACACCATTTACAGTCCCCACAACACAAACTTAGACACGCCTGAAAAATCAGCAGCACTGATTTACGTATCTGATGGTTTCAGTTAAAGACGGTTACTGAAAGACTTTTATTACACAGGCCTGATTCACATACAGATCAAATAAATATGAATCATGATAGTATTGGTTAATACTACCTTTCCCTGCCCAATGGTGCACTGAGATGTAATCAAAACTCAGAAAACTTTTTACAGGCCAGCAAATTTTGATTTTATGTTGACTTTAAATGGGATTAAAGGATTAGTTTAGACAGAATTTTTACGTTTTAAGTACAGAATAGGAACTTAAAGAGTGGAGCCATCAAGTTCTTTTGCGGCTACTCCAATGTTATAGTCATTGTGCATCAAAGAGTACTTCTGCCTGTTTATGTCAGTTGAATGAACATCAAATTCCTCTGCTCAGTGGTTTAACACCTTGGTTTAGTAGTAATGTCAGGCCAATCAAACCTGCAACATGAAGTCCAATTTCTCCTTTGTTATAAATCGTTAAACCTAGTCCTCAGTTAAAACACATACACATTAGAGACACACCTAAATCTCAGGTCCAGTGGTTTCTAAGCAACTACTGATTGTGGTGCCATAATTCAAGGTCGTTGTGTGTCAATAACAGAGAAAAGCGACAGGGGATGAGAATCTTTTCTGTATCAAGAAGCTTTAAATGATGTACACAAGGGGCCTTCAGGGCTGAGCATCACTGTTGCCATGGCAACATGAGCTTCAACAGCATATGCTTAAAAATGTAAAGATTTCTTTGTCACAGGCTGCAGTTCAGTGTCTGGCAAAAAAGTCTGCCTGTTTAAAGGGACAAGAAAGCACAGTGTCTGAAAACTGTAAGAAGCAAGAAAACGTATATGAGCTTAAATGCACTATTTACACAGCAGTTTTGCCCAAGTAATCAGCATTAACTCCATAGGCAGCCCCTCACCCCAGCCCCCAAAAGCAAGTTGGCTTAAGTGCCTTTCTCAGGGTCACAAATACAATAGCCATTAGATGAGATTTCATCCATGATGTCATGAGTAATAACCATACTCTGACCTGTATGAGATGTAGATGGTGGCATTTATTATTACATTGCATTCAACTCAATATCTACTAACTTTATTGCATAATTAAATGATTAAGATGTAAACAAAATTATTCATATTACAACCCCATTTCCAAAAAAGTTGGGACGTGCTGTGCAAAATGTAAATAAAAACAAAATGCAATGATGTGCAAATCATTTAATCGCTATATTTAATTGAAAATAGTACAAAGACAACATATCCAATGACTGAGAAATTTTATTGTTTTCTGAAAAATATATACCCATTTCGAATTTGATGCCAACAACACGTTCCAGAAAAGTTGGGACAGGGGCAACAAAAGGCTGGTAACGTTGTCTAATTTAAAAAAAACACCTGGAGGTCATTTGGCAATAGGTCAGTAACGTGATGTGGGTATAAAAAAGCATCCCAGAGAGGTGAAGTCTTTCAGAAGTAAAGATGAGGATGAGTTCACCACTGTGAAAGACTGCACAATCAAATAGTGCAACAATTCAAGAATAACGTTTCTCAACATAAAATAACAAAGAACGTTTACTTTTCATCATTTATGGTACAAAAAAACATTAAAAGATTGTGAGAATCTGGAGAAATCTCTGTAGGCAAGGGACAAGAGAAAAACGGTATTTGCTGGCCATGATCTTTGGGCCCTCAGATGGCACTGCATTAAAAACAGACATGATTCTGTAGTGGAAATCACTTCATGGGCTCAGAAACACTTCTGAAAACTAGTGTCTGTGAAAACAGTCTGTCGTTGCATCCACAAATGCAAGTTAAAACTCTAAAACGCAAAGAAGAAACCATATATAAACAGGATCCAGAAATGCTGCCACCTTCTCTGGGCCTGAGCTCATTTAAAATGGACGGAGGTGAAGTGGAAAAGTGTCCTGTTGTCCAACAAATCAAAATTTGAAATTCTTTTTGGAATTCATGGACACTGTGTCCTCCGGGCTAAAGACCACTCAGTTATTGGTGCACAGTTCATGATGATATAGGGATTCATTAGTGCACATGGCATGGGTGACGTGCACATCGGTGAAGGCTACATATATATATATATGTGTGTGTGTATATATCTGTATCAAACTCAGTTTTTGTTGTATTTATTTTACGCAGGCTTATTATGAACATTTATGGATAAAAGAATGGAAAAGCACCAGACATGACAGGAATAGAAGAAGCTGTTTTATAGCAATTTATTTCAACTCTCTCACTGTCAATCGCTTTCAATCTCAGGCTGGAGGAATTTCCTCTCTCAATCAGCGCTGCTGGGCCAGTCTATGCACTTGTTTCCTGCTGTATGTTCTAAATATAACTCACGCCGTGAGCTTTTATAAGGCCGGTGAGGAGGGCAGGGCAGAAACTCAGGTAGCTCAATCTACCCACCCTGTTGATATCGTCATTATTTTTCGTTATCCACCTGTATTCGGACAAACCCCGCCCTTCGTGCGCTGTGATTGGTTAGTAACGGCCGGCAGCCTTCACTCGGATTGGCTAATTCTTGTAAACCACTGGTCAATCCTTAGGCACTGGAGGCGGGGTGTGTCGGAGTGCGGGTGGAAAAATGGAAAAGAAGATTGTTTGTGGTGACTGACTGAAAGTGTTGTCAGAGAGTTCGAGAGAGGAGAGACGAAAGGACGAGCTGCCCGAGTCCACTCACCTGTAGAGCTACAGGGGGGACACCTTCACAGTGGTTTTGCGTTCTGAGTTTTTCTTCCAAACTCGAAGTGCTGAGGTGGAGATATTTTAGTCATGACTGAGGCAATAATCCCCAACGGCTGCCCGAGCGGCGAGGTCGCCGAGAACGGCTACTTTAAAAAGGTGAGAGAAGTTTCGATGGGCTTCGTTGTGTTTGATTAGCGGGCGATGCTAACGCGGATTCACTGGTGTACTGCTGGTTTTTGGTTTTCATCGCACTTTCATTTTTCTGTATTATTTTTAAAAACTGTGCTTTAACACTCAAAGTTTGTGACAAGATTTTTTTAAAGTTACCGTTACCTCACACTGCGTCTTGTAAGCAGAGCTGGTTATTCACTCTCTTCCATGAACTGAAGTAAAATTTGGGTTTTTAACGTTACTTTCAAATGATACGTTTACTTCATAGGTATTAGCTACAATTTGTAAGGAAACTAGACGACTTTTTGCCCAGTTCCACTTCAGTCCTTCACATTTTGTTCCTGAGTAACATTTTGTGTTTAATATCATGAAGTTCAATTCATGTCATCTCTTCTCATCACATCTCAATTCGTGCCAGCTGTGCTGTTGCTCACACCTCTCGCTTCAGAGCTTTAGCACTCGATTTTAGACCGAAAGGATCCCAAAAAAGGAAGAATAGTGTCTAAAAACTAATAATAATAAGTAACTTCAGTTTTTATGCTGACAAATTCTGGATCCACTAAAAAAGTGCAGTTACACAGGAAAAAATGAGTAGTTTCTACTCCTACTGAGATAGTTATTTATAGATTTCACCTATATTTAAAGGGGAATTGCACCATTGTTTCAATATTTCTGAATATTGATGTGAAGTGGTTCATTGTAGAGAAACCCACTGCCTCTGTTTTGTTTGCAGTGGTGGTGATAGGAACCAGGGGTCACAATGTCTACAACACTCATGTAGCCATTTTACTTACTATCCAGAGCTACCACTGAACTTACACATGCCTTCTGAGCTTATATAGGATGTTGATAATGATGATCATAAACCTGTAAAAGCATTTTCTTTGAGGACTGTTTTGCCTTACATCACACATGTATCCTTTCACCGTGAATGGATTCAAATACATTTAAAAAAACTTTATCATAAAACGATGTGTCAGACATCAAGCAGTATATGTCTAACCATTTCATGTAATACGTTCTGTGAGGGAGCTTTCAGAGGCATTATTCTCTTCAGATGTCTGGTTTCTATTGCTGCCAATGTGAACAATTCTGACTCTGTAAGTTTCTCTAGAACAGAGCATTTCATACCAAACCACTCTGAATGATGTTGTTTACATTTCAACCATTTAATAATGCAGAATTTTTGAAAACTCAATGGAGTTCCCCTTTAAGTCATTACTGAAGTAATGATACTTTACTTGAGTGTAGTTTTAGGCTATTCTGCCTGAGTCCTCTGCAGTCAAGATGAGCTAAAAAAAAAAGAAATTCTGACCTCTTCATGCTGTTTGGTTCCTCCTGAAGTGAAAATGTTTGGTTGAAGACATCTGGCGGTCAGGTGTGGGTTACTAGAGAGAAACTGAGAGAGAGAAAGAAAGGGGCAGTCTTGTGCCAGCCAAGTTTGGGAGGCACCGCTGTGTGCCAAGCATCGTCTCGCAAGACCTACTTTCAGTTTACAGCACTAGTGTATATAGAGGTCTGTCTCAAGTTCTTGTTTTCGTTTAAAGTGCCCGCATGTCATCACTGAAATTCTCACACCTGTATGTTGTTATTAAAATACAGTAAACTGAGCTGACCGAACTGACTGTTAAAATGAAACTGTATGCATGGTATATGAAATGCCTTGTTTGACAGATACAGGCGGCCTTGCCAGGTGTAATTGAATGAGGCGTTTTGGCTCGCTTGAGGAATGTGATAATAGGCCTAGACTCCTGTGTAGCAATTGCTTGAGTGTAATGGTTTACTTGTATTTTTATTGGAAAAGCTGAGACTTATAACTCCTTAGGTGATAAAATTGATTTATTAAACATTTCAGAGGCACTTAAAAATAAGATGAGTCCGGTGGCAGTGTTGGCACAGCCTGGAGAGAGGCGGTGTCTGTGTGTGTGAGTAAGAGAGGGAGACCGAGAGGGGTGGACACACTGAGTTATGGCTTATGAATTCCTTGGAGGGATTTATGCCCCTACACATTCCTTCAGAGTCTTACCTTGACCCCTGTCTTCACATGAAAGAGAGAGAGGGAACCAGTATCATAATCTAAGAGGTTATTGGAGTTATGTGTATGTAATTGTCAATTTGTTTGTTTGACCCAGAAAATAACCTAGAGGTAAAGTGGTGAAGAAACAATTACGTTTTTCCTCCTTGGGCTTGGACTTTACAGACTTACATTTAAGCCATTAAAATAAATGCAGTTTAAAAAGACATCTGGCATTTGTGTGCATACATATGAGGCTTGCACTGACTGAGGAGTGTAATTATCTAAAGCGTGTTGACTGTATGTTGGTTTAGCCGGTGAAACCTGTGCGGGTGCATATTTGCGCCGGCATCCCTGTGTGTTTCTTTTTTTTTTTTAAGGTCTGATCGCATGTGTGTCCAAGCTCTGAAAAGAGCCTTTGTCTCTGTGGAGCCTCAGCTCTGCTTATGAACTGTAACTGCTCTGCTGCATTGTCTGCCACTTCCTGGTTGTATAAAAGCGAATGGTTGCCAGAATTGACTTGGACGATGAGATACAGTGGAACGTCTCACCTTCTCTTAGAAATTGAATGCTCACATAAACACTCCTGCAGGGTAGACTTGTTCAGAATGTTGTGAATAATGTGTGGTCAAGCAGAGCCTGTGCATGGAAACAGAACATAAACTATTGTGAATGAATGTCTTGATGGTCCAAAGTAGTCTCAAAAGAGCAGGCATTTGGGTTTGTCAGGGGGAGAATCGTATCTAATATAGTCAGGCATTTCAATCTGATGGAGGCCTTTTGGCCTTTCTTCTTCTCTATTTCATTTTTTACTTGTCTGCCTTCTTGTCCTTATTTTATTTATCTGCTCTCTTAAAAATTTAGGTACCTAAAAGTGATCTTTGCAGCAAAATAGGCCTATAAAATAGGCCCTGTTGGTTCATTAAAGAACCTTTCAATTGATATTTCTTTAAAAAAAAAATTTTTGTAAATATGTGTATATATATGTGGAACAGTTTTTAAGTTTAAAGAAACTATAAAGGTTCTTTACCAATTAGAAGTTTGTCCTTGCAGAAAACATCCAAAGTAAAAACCATTTAAGAACCTTTATTTCTTAGTTTTACTGATACTCAGGCTAGTTCTCAGGCTTTAGGTGATGGTGAGACTGGTGATTGTTTTTGGGTTTCTGTAGATAAGGTGAAAAGTTAGGCCCAGTAAATCAGGAAAGTCCAGAATACCCTGAAAGTTTTGGCTAAATAAATCATCTGAGGGGCTTCATTGTTTTGATAATGAGTGGGGGGATGGTTTCTGTATAGTGAATGATGCCACTTTGACTGATTGTTTTTGACTGGTTGATAATGTGGTGTGGCAAATAACGTTTTAGGCCAGTAGATAATGCAGCGTGGGCTGATTTGTTTTGGGCTGGTAGAAGAATAGTGAGGTTAGCAGATGGTTTTGGGTGATTGGATACTGCGGAGTGGGTGGATAATTTAGGACTGGTAGTGAGTGGGTGGATGGTTTTGGGCCAGCAGATGAGGAATGGTGGAAGTGGTTTTGGGACAGTAGATAGTGCAGATTGAGGTGATGGTTTTTGGACTGGTAGATACTATAGAGTGGGAAAATATTTTGGGGCCAGTAGATAAAACAGCATGGTTGAAGGGCTGGGCCTAGATAATACTTAGTGAGAGGGATAGCAGTAGATGGAGTGAGGAGTTGGTGGAGGGTTTGGTTGTAGTAAATACTGCAGATTGGATATGATGATGGTGCTTTTGGACCTTTGCCTCTGAAGCTGTGCCTGTGGCCAGAGAGACAGAATCGCCGATTCTGCATGTTCCCCTCATCCTACTTCCATTGACGTCGCATCCAGCCAGAGGTAGCGCTCGGCCAAACCACATGCACTAATGCAGCGCAGATGCTTGGGCTTCTGCTGAGAATGGGAAGAGTTGTAGAATTGTAGAACAACCCCAAGACATTTCGCAGTGTTCTAGACAGAGCAGTAAACTGAAATGATGATTAACATGAGAACTAGAGGGAGAGTCATAGAGCCTGCTACCCTTTATTCTTTGGAAATGTAATTATCGTATATCAAAAATTGGCATCTGCCTTATTTATAATGGCTTAATATATCTACAGCCAAGCACCAGTCCATAGCTAATACTGTGGACTAACATAAACCTAAGCTGAGAACCAGAGAAAGGCAGTTTGCCACTCTGTTACTAGGATTCCAAGGGAGTGAGTGGGCTCTGTTGTTAGAAGATATAAAGAGCTCTTTAGAATTGAAAGCAAACCAACTGTGCATATCAGGCATACAAGACGTGTTGGGAGCCTCCCTTTTTCCAGAAACTGTGGGGATGAGAGAGAAAGAAAAAGACATAGCTTTGTTTGGACACAGTTTCACTGAGCTGATAATTGCTTCCCATAGAGTGTCCCACTGACTCTCTGCTGTATCAGAGACTCAGCAGGCAGCTAGTGGAGTAAACGCATGCTTGGTTTTGGTGTTCTAGGCACTGCATGGGTTAGTGTCGTGAAATGTTGTAGGTCACCTTAGGCTTCAGTGACATCCTGCTTTGCATTAGTTACCTGCATAAGAGTTTTCAAATCTTCTACCTTTACCCTTTGTATGACTAGTTAAAGCAACTTTTAGATCTAGGCCTATTCCTACTGCTGGAGATTGGCCATGCTGAAGATTTTGGTCGTCTGATTCACCTGGCTGTAATCATAAAATGGTTCTGAAGCCCCTAATTAACTGGATAATTTGGTGTACTGGAGAAAGGTTGAGTACCCCTGGTTTAAATCAGCATGATAGTAATTATTCTGTCTTAAAGGTAGTCTCAGATTCAGACGCTCCACCTACACATGGATGGAGTGTCTCATATCTTTTACACGTTGAGCTAACCACAGCTACTAGGATTTTGTCAGCTGTGTTCTGAATGCCGATCCACACAGCCTTGTAAAATTCTGAGCAGCAAGTTTTATGTAGTTGTCTTTTGGAGCTAAATAGTTGCTGGATGAAAAAAAAAATGTGACTTTTACAGGATTACATGTTTTAAGTTATTCAAGAGCTTTCTTTGAAGCATTAGTAGCTTTTAGTTGGATATCATCATGAGTTGCAGGCCTGTTTTGAAGGATTGCGTGCCTCTACATGGTAGCGGCATGACTGGTTATTTTGTGTGTTTGTGTGTGACACAGTGCACTGCGCTTTCTGACCGAAGTCTGGTTTGTGAGACTGACTCAAGGTTCAGAGCTACTATCTCATCCCATTCTAACCCAATAACTTGTATTTTGGTTCCAGTGGAAGCAGGGTCGGCAAATAAAGCAGTTGGAGCTTTAAAACCTGTCTTTAGCTCATTAGCTTCTTGCCAATCTTGTCCTTTACTACAGCTGTTTAGGAAACAGTGCAATCACTTTACTGTCCTAAAATCTAGCCATGTACATTTAAACACCATAGACGTTTCTAATTGCTGTTCACATTAAATTATTTGTTCAACAAAATGATGCCGACCCTTAACATACATGCGTGTTGTTTTGGTAATGTAGCCACACCTGTCCACTGGCTGTACAGCAGGTTTGATGGTCTTAACTTATTCTGAGTTTGTTTGTTCTGTTTCTTAATTACATAACATTGAGATAAAATGCTGCTTCACTAATACACGGCTCTTTTGGCGGTGTGATCTACAACAGATGCCCTTGCCCCATAGAGATTTTGCTTCTCGATAGTAGGGTCATGTGGAATGTTTGCTTAGATAAGGGTAGGGAGTGCGTTTCTAGAAAGATACCACCCTTTCCCCAGCAGCAGCAGTTCATCAAGATTTATTTAGGTGTGTTAGGTATGGAAGGAGATGTACATGATGTCATTAAAACTGGGAACGTCTCTCTCTGTCACGTTCTCTCTCTCACTCTGTCACTAAATATACAGCCCTGTTTGAGACACACCTTAGTGACATAGCATATGCTCTGAGTCAGAAAGTGTTTGTAAAACAGGTACAGACAGTATGCTCGAGTAAGAGCGCTTAGTGATAGAAATGAATGACACATGGAGTGACCTGTCAATAAACAGGTGCTCACAGCTGGATGGAGCATTTTTAAGTCTTCTAAAGAAAATAAAGAAAGCTAAGATGTAAATTTTGTTTTTCAGCTTAGACGAAAACATCTGTGGGGAAGACTGTGGTTGTGTGACAGGCGTCCAAATGAAATGGCTGAGCTACTCTTTCTCTGAAGATTTTGCTAAACAGTTGACACAAACAAGTGTGGGCTTGTCTCTGTCAAATGGTCAAAGGATAAAATTTTCTTTTCTGATATCTTTTCTGATACTGTTATTGGAACCTTGAGAATTTTTTTTCCACATATTTTTTAAAATAGACCCACAAGATTTCCGTTAGTTTTGTTCCTGAATTTGACTTGAACTGTGGCGTCTTGTGTTGTGTTGTTTGAATACCCGCCATGTTTTGTGTTTTCCTCCTATAAGTGAACAAGGTACAAACATCAAAAAACAGCTGTGTATGACATGCATGCAATTCTTTTTGACTGCCAGTGAACTAAGCTTTTATTTTAAAGCTGCACTATGTAACGTTTTTGTTAAAATGGAAAGAATTAGCATTACTGAGTCAGAAGGAAAAAAAAAGACTAAAATATGGTGTCCGTGTGCTGCTGCGAGTCATCCCATAAAGCCTGGAATAACAAAAGTCAAAAGTGTTGGGTCAGATTTCGTGGGAGTTTTATAGAACATGTTGCATGTATTAACACCATACTCGCAGGCTCAAAACAAAGGTCTGGTTTGGCTTTAGGTCTCAAAGCAAACTCAACTAGTCAGTGCTTAAAAAACATTTTCCAAATCAACTGCATGTTTGATTAAAAATAGAGCCTAATTAGTCCTAGTATTGTAGTATTTTTAAAATGTGGACTTACTTTGTCTGTTGTAACTTGTCATAATTAATAAATATTGTGACGAATAGTGTAACGTAAAAAGGTTGAATATCGTAATATGACATTTTGCCATATTGCCCACCTCTAGTATTGAAGGAATGTTATAAATAAAATCTCACTTTCTCTGTCTCACTCTTAGGGCTGTAACCCACTGGCACAGACGGGGCGCAGTAAGCTCCAGAATCAGAGAGCGAGCCTCAACCAGCAGATCATCAAGCAGATGAGAATGAGAGCAGGGGCTGAGAACCTTCTTAAGTATGTACACACACACACTCATGCTTACTGTTGCAAACGGACACACACCTAAACACATCTATACTCCAGTACATTCACAAAACCCATTCTTTGAGAAGAAAGTGAGGCCAAAGGACACTTACTGGCACTTCCTTCTCTCACACTTAGTAGCGCTTGATAAGTTTCGATCATAAATCTTTTATGGTCATAAAAAAAGGATCTCCAGTAGCATTTTTTGGGATGGGTTAGCTGTAAAGTTTTGTTGGCTAAACCTCTCCCTGTTCTGGAGGAATCTGCGTTTTCTGTTTACTTTGAACAGTTTCGGTCTTGTCAGTCACCTGTCTATGTACCTGTGTTCCTTGGCCTTTAATCATCTCTCTCTCACATCTAACCCTTGTGTATTTGTCTGTACAGTATGTGCGTGTATAGGCTACATGAGAAAGACAGAGGAAGATTGGCATACGTGCCGTTCTTTGTGGCTGATTCAATGTTGAAAACAGATTTGAAAGAGTGTACCTTTGTTTTGCTGAGTGATGTTGTAGGGAGAGAATGCTGGAGTGTGTCTGTGTGTGTGTGTGTCCGAGTGTGTGTGTATGTGTGTCCATGTCACGTGTGGGCTCATGTCTGTGTGACTCAGCTCTCACCTGGGCACGCCACAAGCAGAGAACAATGTTACATCACTAATGTTTGTGTTTTTGGCACTTTGGAATCATTAACACACTTTAGCACAGCTAAACTGAGCCTTGCCAACACCTCACTGTGATTGTGCATGTCATGGAGTGTTTATCCGTGCTGAAGCAAGCAGCGCAACTGGTTTGATTCCAGAATAAATTGCTAAATGGCACAGCCTTCTAAGCATTGGCCCCATCATTGGGAGATTGTGAGTTTGATCACCGGTAATATCACATCACATCCATCTGTGGCAAGGAGTCTGAGAGAGAGGTCTCTTGGATGGGTAGGAAAGCCTTCCCTTTCTCCCCATTGCTCAGCAAGATGCTAGCCAGTATTACCTCTGTTAACTTTTAGCACTCTCTGCCTTCACCCTTGGTGAAAAATGGGTTTTGATCACTGTTTTTCCATTTCATTACAATTAAATGAATTTGTGAAATTTTAGATTTTTTTAACATTTCATTGTAAGCTAATTTAATCCTTATTTTCAGTCAAAATGTTTGGCTATGAGCTTCTCTGAGTATGTCGTGGATATTGTCAGTGCTTAAAGAGCGCTGACCAACTGCATGTTTCATTTAAAAGAGATTTAGTTGTGTTTAATGGGATTCAACTGGTCTGTGCTACTTGGCTCTAGTCTACAGATTTTGGGGCAGTCGGAGTCGAAAGTTGGGAAAGAAAATCAAGTACAATGGGCGAGACTCAGATTTGTTTTGTCCTCCTAGTTGCAGGTTTTCATTCCATGAAAGCAGGAGCACACTTGATTCCATGTTTACTCAGTTGGTCTTAGTCTTCAAATATCTGATCTGTATTGTGTGCGGTCGTCCCATAGTACGGTCAGAACAGTTAGAGATCTTATGCCTGGTATAACTCTTCTTTAGTACCCCCACTATACCTCATATTAATTCACTATCACAATTGAGTAGAAATTAAAGACCTGTTTGACTGAGCTAAAGACCTCAAACTTAGATTGGGGATGGCCCATTTTTTATTTAACATGATACATTCTTATTCCATTAAATCTGTGTATAGTCACTTAACAAATGTATCACATTTTTGGTATCAGGTAACTAACTTGCTGTTTTCCATCTAAAAAGACCTGGGGTGAAATAAAATTTACATTGTAATTAGGCTGGTTAGCTGAGGCAGTGTAACAGGTGATTTACATTACGTGCTCTTGTTTTGGGCTCAGTGTAATTCACAAATGGCTAGATGGTGTGTGGCACTCAGAGAGCGGTGCTGGAGTTCATGGCTGGGTGCTGTCTAACGGCAGTGTGTAGACCTTCATTAAAAACAAGGACCCTGAATTTTTGGAAGCTGTATGTTTTGCAGGTCACAAGTACAGTGTATGTGGTTGCTTTCATTCAGCGCTGTTTAGACAAGACTTGATACAGGAGGATAGGATTGTCCTTTTTCAGTCTTGATTCCTTTTGAAGTTTCTTTCTTCACTTTTCCTGGCAAGTGAGAAACTGACTCTGACAATAGTACAGTGTGGAGTAAAAATGAATGGGGGTTATTTTTCCTGATCAATATCAGTGCAGTTCTAGAAAAAAAGAACATAAAGCACCATTTGTCTGATCAGATCTTCTTAGCACAGCACTTGCCAGGTCTTTTCAATAAAAGAGGGTGTCTGGAAGTGTGACTCATGTTGAGTCAGTGGATTTTATTTCTTTAGTTCTGCCTATTGCAGTAAGGTCTTCAGGTTTTCCTCTCTGATGCTTGCTGTGCTGTTGATGTATTAACTTTCCAGTTTGGGTCTGAATCCAGCTGTTGTGGAGCTTAATTCTTCATGCTGATCTAGGATCAGTCTTACTTGGCATAATCCTCTGTGAAGTTTTAATTTCTGAGATGGCAAGTCTGTTTTCTGGTCAGTGATTACAGTCCCTGAGGCCATTGAGTTTCGTTAGTGGTCTGGAAGCCCCACAAACCCAGATTACTGCAGCAGGAGATGCCATAAACTTGGTCTCCTGGCATGTGTGTGTGCTTCTTTTTGTAAAACACGCATTTGTTTCCTATTGCAAAGACCACACACTCTTTGGACTTATCAGTTGCTATAGCGATGTTTCGTATGCTCACTGTCTCCACAGCAATGACAGACACACCCGCTGGGATGGTCTTTATACTGAAGAGTTTGATCGGCTGCTCTGACGTCAGTGTGGCTTCCAACCTGACATGGGACTGAAACTGTAACCAGTCTCTCCTCTCCTCTCCTCTGTTTTCTCTGTTTTTGAAGTTAGATACAGGAATGTGAGTGAATAAGCATACGGTCCGTTGAATTCCTCTTTTATGAAGTATGATTTGGCCTTCATTTGCTGTGGGCTGCCACACTGAAACTCAAGGTAGCAACAAGACAGGAATTCTTTAATTAACTCTGTTCCCCATGAAAGACAAACTGTGTGTATGACAGACATATAAAGCTTCAAAGAAGATGGCCAAGCGTGATGCACTTGACATATTTCAGCTCAGACCACAACTACTGTCCTATAATAATTTGCCGTATTTAACTGAAACCAGGGCAGTGCAGTGTGTGAAACGTTAAATGGCCCTACTCGTTCTTTTTTGTTTAATTATGATCTTATTTTACCTGCCATTAACTTCACACCTCACATAAATGAAATATTGTAATATGTATTGTGGATCATGAAAATCTCTTAAAGTACAGTGATACTATGTTCCCCACTTCTACTTATTACAGGATTAATGTATCATTTACATGTGGAACATGTGCAATTGAGAAGGTACATGTTTGTGTTTAGTTTTAAATAGATTAGAAAAATAGTCATTTAAATGGCCATGGGCATCCAGACACACACATGCACTTATCCATGCCACCATATTTCCTCTTATTCAAATCAGAACAGACAGGTGCAGCACTGTGAGTATTGTGATAGCCAGTGGCCTCGGGACTACCCCAAGCCTGTTAGGAAAGTACTTTGACAATACGTCAGTCTGATGAAGCCTCTGTGGCTCTAGAGCTGAACTAGATTGGCATCACTGTCAAGTGTACAGTACCCTTCTCTTCAGTGAGCTACTTAGGATCTATATCTTGACCTGTTGTATGCCTAATAGACATGTAGGAAAAATGCCTTGTTTGAGCCAAGTTTTGTCTGGAGAGGTACTACAATTTGTGGTTACTGATGAGATCTGTGTATTGAATCCAGTATGAATCTTATAGTTTTAATAACCTTGGCGTGAATGTCCTTCTGTAATTGGCTAAACCCAGAGTTATCTCAGTAACGGTAGACCTGTTCTCTAATCCACCTCATGCTAGTGCAACATCAGATGTGACCATGTGCTAGGGGTGGGCAATATAAATATATATGTATATTATTTTGTAAAGTTACGTCACGGTATGCTTTTCTGAGTATCACAGAGCACTTTCATGGACAATAAGCAAGCATAATTGGATATGCATTATGTGAACATTACAAAAATGATTCCAGTTTTTCTTATCAAGCATCATACCTGATGCGAAACACTGATCCTTCAGTCTGATGATCAGTGTTGCAAAACATACATACTTTAATTACACATGAATCAGCCAGTCACATCCCTTGCACATTACATTACAGAACTCTAGAAAATTAATTCAGCAACGATAGTGCTTTAGATTAGCTTTATTCACAAAGGTATACATGTTTGTGAGGTTACATACAATTTGAGGCCAGTAGATGAAAAACTAAATGAAGGCAAAGACAGACAAACTTTTGTGCTGTTCTTTGCTGGAAGAAAGGAGGAACTCACATGAGACTCTCACAGGGTAATTGTTGCTTTGGGGATGGAGCTTCATGCTGGCTGAGGGCTTCTCCTCAGAGGCACCAGTGTCAAGGACACACTGTTTTAACAATGCGTAAAGGGTGAGGAAGTCATTTATGTACACACACACCCTAACACACACACGCACATACACATCAAAGCAAGGAGTTACAAGTGGTTTGTGGCTGAAGTGACTCCTGGGGCAATGCTTCAGTCCAGCACTTACCCTTTAACACAGCAGGTCTGTAGGTCAAACTTGTTACAGATTGTAAGGTAGGTTTAAGCCACAAATGACCTACGTGCACACATGCAGGAGTACAAACAAGCCCCTGGGCTAAACACAAAGTTCATTATGCAGGATGGAAGGGCCTTTCAGTTTTGTTGTAGTGTTGTAGCTTAAATAGGCATTCACACAAAGTCTTTTGATTCTTTTGATTCACTTTACTAAAGCAAAAGCAGGCGTGGCTCACATAAATGTTACCAGACTTATTTAGGCTAAGAGGAGAAGTGATGGGAATATTTTTATTATTTTTTAAGTAATGTATTTCACATGACATTTATCATCTTACCATGGATGCAGATGATCTCCTCCATCGCGTGGTACTCTGATCGACTCTTGTATTGATTGTTGTGATTTGCAGCTTTCCAAACACCTGTTGCCATTAGGGAAGTTGCAGAGTGCCCTGCGACATGGACACCGATTTACCTGAGATTTACCAGCTCATAGCAGCTGATTTATTGGTCAGGCTGTAATACGGATTCCAGTACTGGCTGATATCAAGTACTGAGCTGATTCTAGCGTTCTATGCACTTGTGTTTTGTAGCAGCAAAGTACTTACGCATATACAGTAGAGCAGGAGCGCTCAGTCCTGGTCCTAGAGATCCACCGTCCTGAGAATTTAGTGCCAGCCCAAAGTTAGCACACCTGATCCAGGTAATTAAGGTCTCCAGGGGCTTCCACATATTAGAGCAAAGTTTGTTGGACCTGAACTGTCCAGGATAGCAAGTCTCGAGGAGCAGGATTGTGCACCCCTGCAGTAGAGGCTAATGTACCATAGCAGAGACCGTGAAACACCAACATTCTTTTAGGATTGTGCCTTTTTTTTATAGTTACCTAATAATTACCTAAGAAGCTTAAGTTAATAAAATTGCACTGTAACTAAATGTTGTAAAGACCAGGACAATATCAAATGTGTATCGGTCTCATTTGACCTATATCCCATCCATCTAATAGGACCAGTATTTGTGGCACTTAAGGTCCACTACATGGGATAGGTGAATGTGTGTGTGAGTGTGCGAGTGAGTGTGTGTTGTTTGAGGAGGAGTGTGTAGTCGTCCTTCCTGAGTTCCTGAGTTCTGGAATAAGGGTGTTGTTTGTTTGTGGATGTGGATGTGTGTGTAAGCGTGGCTCCTGAGTAGGATGGTTTTTGTATATTTGTATTTGCAGCACACAGTCTCTGTACATGTCATGCATTCATGCATATACAGAGATATACACACCTGAAAGATGATTGGCTTCTATAGATTCTTTTGAAACGGGAACTTTCCACTTGCTGTGTTCACATGGATATCCTGATCAACACAAGTCCATGCAATAAAAGGTTTTGTGGCACTTTTCAGACTGTGAAATTTGATCTGGTGGTAACAATAGTCAACAACAATTGAATGCTCTCTCACTCTCTTTCTCCTTCTCTCTCTTTCTTTTTATGTATGTGTGGTCTGTAGTCGGATGTCACAGGCATGTCCACATTTTTCCTATGCCTTTGTGTGTGCTCACAAGAGCATAGGAAGAATGTGGTCACTTTGGCATGATCACTCTCTACTTACCATGGAAAAATCTTATCATTATCATTGTAAGTTATAACACAATATGCTTTACTGAGAATATCATGAGTATCACTGAGCAACAGCATGCATCATAAAAAGTCATCATCACTTATTTGATATCATTCATTTTAGATGGAGAAAAGAGAAGAATATATGAATAAGGAATTCCACTGCAGTTCTAGAAGTTACTCAGTACTTGTTAGTTTTGCACCTGCTATTTTGCTTACTTCTACTCAAGTTGGGTTTTGCTAGCCTGCTTTACTTGAGTCATTATCACTGAAGTAACAGCACTTTTACTTCAGTTGGCTACTGTTCAGCCACCATACACTTTGTATGTTGACAAGAACGACCTGTTGTCTCATCTGTTGATTTATTTCATGCAAACCATAGAAAGACACTCATATTCCCACATGTGAACATATCTGATCTTTTAATCATGTTGGGTGATGTGGTATCCTACATTAATACCACATTTATTGTACCTAGCATAGATGATTGTTTTTGAAATGTGGCTGTTGAACTGCACTGGTTGAACACTTGCTGTGCTGCAGGCAGATATCATGCCTGCAGAAAAGCCGCCTATGTTAAAATGTACATTTTAGGACATCTGCAGATTAAGCTTCAACAAACACGCTATCGCTGTTTGCTCCTGCATCCACTTTAAGTGTTAGGAACAATCTCAAAAATTTCTCAAAAATTAAATTTGGTGTTGGTGTTGCTGTTGGTGTTGTTGGTGGGAGTAGTAGTAGACGTTTGAGTTGATTTGATGTTTTGTGAAAATGTCTAAGTATTGTAATGTTATATTTTAGTCATATCACCCACTCTTTGTCACAGTGTACTAAAATATGTATGAACTCATAACCATGGACATTATTACTTTTGTGTGTTCTTTTATTTGACAAAGATTAAGCTTCAACTCACATACTATCGCTGTTTGCTCTTGTCTCCACTTCAGAGTTAGGAACTGTCTCAAAATTACTGGAAGAAGTGTTGCTATTATTATTATTATTATTATTATTATTATTATACATAGTTGTAGGTAGGTAGTGATAGTGAGACTGTTTGAGTGGTTTGAGTTTGATAGCCAGCTTTTAGGTGCTCATCTTAAGTACTTAAATTAAAATAAATCATTGTAAAGATTAGTAGTTTTCAAAGAAGAAAAATTTAACCAGTAGTGTCTCGAAACCACATCACCTCAAAATTTTTACTGCAGGCACAATCATGACAGTGAAAGCAGAGAGAGACAGATGCAGAGGCATCAGCACGGGCAGGAGCTGAAGTGGTGGAAAATCAGTTAACTTTTTTTAAACCCTAAGCCACATTCAGATTAGTATTTGTCAGCAAGATGTGAACAGGTTCTCTACAAAAAACTGCTTATCTAAAACAAGCAGGCCACCATAAGCTGGAGGTGGGGGTTGAGAGAGGAGAGCTGATGAATACCCTTATTGTCTTGTTTACATTGGAGCAGTGGGACATCCGCTGAGATAAAAGACTGACTCACCAGCTTTTCTAGGCAGCTGGTTCTCTAATGGCTGGTGACGATATTTCCGAGTTTTCCATAATATTTGATATGTAGCACACCTGCTTGGTCAGCCATTTTCAGTACTCTGCTGCTCAGTGTCAACTGAATCATAGACCATTTGCATGCAGACGAGATGTTTTTCTTTATAGGAAAAATACATATTCACTACATATACACTGCTATCTAAATGTTTGAAATCACCAGTTAAAAAAATATAATTAATGTTTTTAGTAATATAGAATCTATCTGGTTGCAGATAAATGCACAAATTGATTTGCATGAATTGACTGCGTAAATCAGAGAACCCAGTGATCTTCATTGGAACAGTACACACAGGACGAAACATATCAGCTTTGGAGCGTTTTGTTAATGGGGAGATTTTTTGAATATGGCATTCATTTTTTTTCCATTGACAGGAATGACTTGGAACGTGATTTCCTCATCTGGTCATGTCACCACAAAACAGCACACGATCTCAGAGGTCTACCACTTAATTCAGTAGAGGTTTTAATAAGTGCTTGTCTTCTTGGCCTCATTTCCCTCAGTGCCATCTTAAGTGCAGATTCATTACTTTATTAGCTCAACTCAGGGGTGTTGGATGAGCGCTCAGAGGGGCGAGGGATCGAGCGAACACCATTGTCAACTTCATCAGAGGAAACTGCCCAGAAACCGGCAACCTGACTCTGAATTAGATGGGCACTTGATCAGTGAGTGTAAGCTGTTGGTCACTGAGCGAGAAATGAGCCACAAAAATAAGCGAATGGGGTCGGGCATCGTCAGAACAGTTCAAAGAATTTTGCTAAAAATATCATGAGTCTCCGGCTAATCAGCATGTGAAATCAAAGAAGTCAGTTTATCAGAAGGGTCAGGAAGTAAATTACAGCCCATTATGTTCGCACATGTCAGCAGCCGAATTGTAAGCTCATTCTTGGAAATGGCGTTGTGGGACTTTGCTTAAAATGGCGTTGTGGGACGGAGTCGCTGACCTTTTTTTTCCTTTTTTTAATTGAGTGGGTCGGGCTTGGAAAGTAAAGAAATGTCAGATAGAAGTTGTTTGTATCATCACTTTCTGTCAGGGTCTGAGAGAAGACTGAGGTAGTTGTGTGTTCGTGACAGTTTTGTGTGTGACAGGTGTGCGATTGAAATGGTTGAGCTGGTCCTTATCTGAAGAATTTGTGAAACAGGTGACGCACACATGTGCCTCTTTCTGTCCTGTCAAATGATCGGAGGATAAAAATGGACTGTTGCGAGTTATTACTTTTTTCTCATTTTGTGTTGAAAGTAGGAGTTGTTAAAGTGAAAAGCTTTTTAACAAAGCTTGTTGAAGGACTTTTTAAAAGTAAAAAGTGGTGTCTCTCTGTCGCTCTCTCTCAGTCAATTGATCATATGAAGTTGAATTAATTTGTTGTATTCTGAAAGAGTTTCCTTATTGAAGCATCCATAAGAACAATAACAACTAATGTTAAAATTACAGTTATAAGAATAAGCAGTAAAGTAATAAGTATAAGATTAGTATTAGTCTCTGTCTGTGTGTCTGTCTGTCTATTTTCTTTTTCTGTCTTTGTCTCACTTTCTCTCTCTTTGTCTTTTTCTGTCTCTTTCTTGCTTTATCTGCACCCCCAACCCCCCACCGTCTCAGTTTAGTTCAAACAAATAACAATAAGCATGTAAACATAAGGGAAAGAAAGAAAAATACACATAGAAAGAATAGAACACTAAAAGGGATCGAGCGAACACCAGTGTCAGCTTTTTAATCAGAAGAAATTGCCCAGAAATCATTGCAACCTGACTATGGTCAGTTGTTCAGTGAGTACAAGCAGTTGGTCACTGAGCGAGAAATGAACCACTCTCTCTTACTTTCTCAGTTCAGTTCACACAAATAATATTAAGCATGTAAACATAAAGGAACGAAAGGAAAATACACATGGATCAGAATAGAACACTAAAAATGAAATGTTCACAGGATTATTAGTAAACCAGTCTCCTTCTCTGTCTCTCTCTCCCTCTCCTTCCAGGGCCACATCCAATAATAAAGTGCGAGACATGGTTCTATTGGAGTTGAGTTACGTGAACGCCAACCTGCAGCGTCTTATGGAACAGCTGGAGGGTCTGAACAGTTCAGTGGAAGTTTACCAGAATGTACAGTAAGTACTCACACACGTATACCACTAATGAGTTTTTCAGTATTATGACTAAACAGCAGTGGAGGACTGCTTCAGTCTGCATTCTCGAAACATTCTGTACTTCCTGTTATCCTCCCTTCTTCTTTCTTCTGTATGAGTAATGCACTGCTGGAAACTTAGTAAACATGCAAAACAGTACATGAGCTTAATTAGAAGGCACACACACTCGCACAAGCCAAGATCTTCCTCCACTCATGACTTGTTGAACCGGTTAAGGATCTGGCAGTTATATCTTTGTGAGCCTGTTTGATTGGAAGGTGGACAGAAGCACCTCCATGTACGTGGGAAGAGAAGGATAAGGGAAGAATTTATATCTTCACGGTGAATGATAGAACTGCGGAAATACTATTATTTCCTTATTGTCACAAGATGCACACGCTAGCTGTGCATTTATTATGCAGTTAACAGCAGTGCAAGGTGCTTGCAGAGCTCATACAAGTCAGTTAGGAGATGGATTTATATAGTGGTCAGTTCCAGGCTTAGTATAAATATAACCTGTCCGGATTCAGCTCATTCTTTACCTGTTGGAGAACTGGTGAAATTGATAAATTTGTTAGCGTAATGTGGGAGAAAAATGGGACCCAGCTTGTATTAAATCTAGGTTTAAAAGGGTGACAAGAAGGAAGAAGCATGCACACACATGAATCTATGTAAGGCTGGGCAATATAGCAAATACATCACAGTATTTCTGATTGTGAATGGATAAATCAAAGGGTTAAAATAAATGAATAATGGACTAATAGTATAAATCAGCTGCCCCTTTTTATTATGTAGTTACTGTTCACTGGTTGTTGTTTACAGACATTTTAGTTATCACCAGAACGTCTATACAGCCTTAAAAAATAACACAGCCCAAAAGATTAAAGCTTTAAAGGACAGAGAGAGAAGGGGTGGAGTGGAGGAGGAGGGTATATAAGTGGAGAGAAAACAGTCCGTCTGTATTCAAGTGGTCTCCTCCTCATCGAAATACCTCATCTCCCATGACAACCAAAACAAAAAGAATGATTACTGGTCAGATGGTAATGGGTGGAGGCACACACTCTTTACCCTCTGTGTGTGCGTGTGCGTGTGCGTGTGCGTGTGCGTGTGCGTGTGTGTGTGTGTGTGTGTGTGTGTTTGTGTTTGAGTGTCTATGCGTGTGCACGTTCACATGCCCTTGAGAGTCTGGCGTACTTTGTTGTGAATGTGTGTGAGAGAGAGGTATCTCTTTTTTTTTTTTTTCTCTCAGGCGTCTACAGATGCCCATTAATTCAGCATAAAGCCTTCGTAAAGAGGATCTGCTGTCCTGTTTGGCTCTTTGTGCATGTGTGTGTTCATTAAAATAATCTCTTTCACTCTCAAGATGCTGAAGCTCAGAATTGTGCCCTTTGTGTTTGTGTGTGTGTTTTATTATGTACAACTTCCAGTACAGGACTAAGCCAGAGAAACAACATTTTAACCTACAATGTTGTGTGTGTGTGTGTGTGTGTGTGTGTGTGTGTGTGTGTGTGTGTGTGTGTGTGTGTCAGCGCACAGAAGTCAAAGACATTTTAGTTTCAGTTTCCAGTCAAAATGGCTCTTAACTGTAAGTGATTTATTTTTCAGGAGATATTTCTGAGGAGATACAAAATAATCCACTTTCATAAAAAAAGAAAAACATAAAAAAGAAAACATAAGAGAGGACTGAGAGAAAATATTTCAGATCTTTGTTTGTCACAGATGAGTGTATATTTTTGGCTGTTGGCTGGACCGTTTTTTCGGGATGTTTTTTTTTTCTGGCACTCACCAGTCTTTCCCCACATGAGGCCTCGAGGAACACAGACATTCTCTCTTTGTCTCTCTCTCTCTCTCACTGTCTCTCTCTCTCTCTCTCTCTCTCTCTCTCTCTCTCTCTCTCTCTCTCTCTCTCTCTCCTTCCCTAACTTTCTCCTGCCTCGTGTTCATGGGAACTGCACTTTGCTGCACTTGCCCTGTCCTGTCTGTGTTTGTGTGAGTGAACGGGCAGTATCAATGCCCATACACTTGAATATCAGGACATATCACCTACCTCCCCTATCATATCCTACCATATCATAGCATACCGTTGTAGAATATTGTGTTGTCTGTGATTTGTTTATTGTGTGTTTAGATTTTTTTCCCCTTTTGCTCTCATCTTGGTTCAACAGTGGTGTAAACATTTTGGATTGCATTGTTTGCTAAAGCGGACAGCATAGGTAAAAAATCTGTATGAAAGGCCATTTGAGGCCCTGTCTTTTCATTATTCGTATCTCGCTCTGAGCATGCTCAGTACATAATATTTAGTAAGGCACCCTGTGGAAAGGTGACTTGGTGTCAATAATTAAAGCCAGTCACTGTATCGCTCTAAAGCCAGTGAAGCGGGCTGTTCAGACTGGCCGCCTGATTGTCTGGACTTGGGCTTGTCTAATAACATGCAGTTTCTTCCTCTGTCAGGGTCTGAGTGACCTTGTGAATTAGAATGACACTTAAATGTGGCAGCCATATCTAAGTGATTTTAATGTAGATTTTAAAGAATATTTCATGGTGAACACCTCAGTCTGAAAGGTTGTCAGATGACAAGATTTCTCTTGTCGTACGGCATCAGGCAGGCAGGCAGGCAGGCAGGCCACAATGCTCAGTCAACCTAATATATAAAGGGCGTCATGCTGTTGGAATGTGGCAGTGATACTTTAAGCACACAGTTGTGTTTTGCACATTTCCTCCATTATATGATCGTGCAGTTTTACTGTTTACTTAAAATATGTACACAGGATCCCTTCAACTATTTTGCTTATTTTTGTGTCAGAAATGAAAGTTGTTGCATTACAACAGGTATCTATTGAGAGGGCTTGTTCTATTTAAAACTATATGAGTGCTTAATGTGATAAGTATTAAATTTATATAGATAACCAAAAAGATGCATTTTGCATGCTTATGTGGTATGGGTATTGTTAAGGGGCAATATTGTGAAAAACGGTTAAGAATATGTTAGGCCTTGTGAAAGCTTGTTATTATCATGGCTGACTTTTGAGAAGTTAACAGCTTGTCAGTTCTCTACTCTTAAGTTCTGGTTTTGTTTTCTTTTAACAGAGGTTCGGTCAGCATCCCGCTCATCCCTCTGGGCCTGAAGGAGACCAAAGATGTAGACTTCACTGTTCCTTTCAAGGTTTGATCTTTTCACAAAACAAAACGAAGAACTGTGCCATTTTTTTCTGTTTTTCTTTATTATTATCTTTTGAAACACTCTGCAAGGTCTCACGTACACGTGTTCCTATCGCAAAGTAGGTCAACTCTTGGAATGTAGAACTAATAAAATCTTTATTTGCTGTGCTGAAAGCATACAGTGATATTTGAATTGTTTAAGCTGGGTGCTGGGTGTTTTCATGTCTACTAAGGCCTTGAGGGGGGAAGAAAGACGGTTAGACGAGTTTGGCCTACTTTCTAACCTGTCATTTCTACAGTCAGTAATGACACAGTGTTGTGCACTCACAGACGCTTTGACATGGCCGATGTCATTGTTGAGATGGGAGCTGCAGGTGTTTCTGAAAGCTCAAATCAGCAGGCCCATGTTTGGAGAGATGGGTGGGGGGTGGGGTGTATGCGTGTGAATTTGTGATTGTTTAAAGTGAATGCTGTTGTTTATTTTTGGCAGGATTTTATTCTTGAACATTACAGTGAGGATGGTGCTAGCTATCAGGATGAAATTGATGATCTGATGGACCTCAGAAAGGTAAAAAAACACACTTTAACTCTTAGAGTGACTAACAATTATGGCCTCTGTGCATATCGTCAGTGTTTGCTCTACCATAGAAACGAGTGGGCGGGCCACCCTATAATCTCAGTCAGTGGCCTAATAATCACATCAACATTTTTTTTATCCATGGTTGTGCAGTGCTTCTGTGCTTAATCCGATATTCTTTAAACTGATTGGTTGCCAAAATGAGTCTGAAGCCAGTTTTAAACCATGAGTGGTAACCCCACCACTGCTGCTCTGCTTTCAGTACACTTCTGTTTTGAGCAGTAATGTTCGAAGAATGTTGTTTTTTGTTTCTCTTTTTTCTTTTTTTCTTCTTTTTTTTTTTCTTCTTTTCTTCTATTTGGTACTATCTAGTAGCAGCATGCACACTATTAAAACAACATGTTATATTGTGCCATTTATTCCCATAATCAGAACAACACATACAGTATTTTGCTATTTTTTGGAAAGTAGTCTTATTGCATCAGCAGCCTCAAGAGAAACATGTAGCCCTCCCCATCCTGCAACAACAACAAAAAAAATTGAATGGGAAACAATGATCGTGTTGTATTTCTACAGTGCATGACAATAGAGTGCCCTCCCCAAATATTGGCGCCCCTGGTAAACATAAGCAAAACGCTGTAAAAAGGCTGTAAAAAATCATTCTTTCGTTCAAAATGTTAACAAAAATCTAACCTTCATTTGAAGTACATTGATTGAAAAAAAAGCTAAATCTTATATTTAGGAAATAATATTTTTTGTCAAATATATATGTGCCACAATTGTTGGCACCCCTTCATTTAATACTTTGTGCAGCAACCTTTGCAAAGATAAAGTATTCTCTGGCCTTTCTCATACAATGGATAACTAAGGGCCATTGGCCTCTGTTTTGTCTCATATATATTCTCTAGTGAAACAGGAAGTCATGGCTGACCATTTAAATGTTTCTGATTGCTCAGGTGAACTTTAAAACATAAAATATGAATGGAAATATACCTCAGTTAGATTTCACTCTTAAAATTTCTAGGGTGCCAGCAATTATGGCACACATTCAGAAAAATATTTATTTCATGACAAGATTTTTTTTTTTAATTAATATACCGTAAATAAAGGGTAGATTTTTCCTAATATTTGGACTGAAAGATCGAAAGGACAAGTAATTAAGAGTATTTTTTACAGCTCATTTTGCTCATAATTACCATGGTTGGGGGGCACTACATCAACATGGATTTAAGTCTTCTTAATTTGCTCACTTCTTATGTATGTCTTTGAGCAGGCATGCCGCACTCCAAGCCGCAATGATGCAGGGGTCGAACTACTCTCAAACTACTTCAGCCAGCTGTCCCTTCTGGAGAGCCGCTTCTTCTCCCCCAACCGCCAAATGGGCATTTTCTTCACATGGTGTGTTCCAACTCCCTTAAAGTTACTCTAAGTAGTAAGAAGTGCATCAACATGCATCAAATCTTGCATCAAAATGCAACAGTCTGAAGGTGGCAACTCGGATCCATTGTTTTTAGAATGTTAAAATCTGTTATAGTGACACTTGTGAAAGTAAGCACTCATTCTCAGACTCCTTTTAAAAAAATGTATATTTAATTAATCTAAATCGTACCGAAATGATCATAATGCTTTGAATCTCCTTCTAAACAGTGTAGAGAGTTTCTGATGAGTTCAATTGTCATGAGGTCTGAAATTTTCATCCCTACTAAATAATGTTTTCTAGCTCATTGAGTACTCAGAACTTTCATATTATTATGTAAACTTTAACATCTAACCATTAAGTAACATTAACATTTCACCATAGTTCTCCTAACTGCTTTGTATAGGGTTCAGAGTAACTGAACCCTTTTATAGTGCTAATTCCTTTAGTATTATTATGCAGGCACATGTATGAACAGTAAATATACCTCACTTAAGAACTATGCAGGTCTGATGAGTTTCTTTTCACAGAAATGTGATCTCTATAGACATTTATGAACAAGAGAGGAAAAAAATAGCTTATTCATAAAACCCTGACATTTTCTGCTCAAAACCCATGATGAGATAACAGTGATAAAACAGACTCTCTTTATCATGCAGGTATGACTCTTTCACTGGCGTGCCGGTGTGCCAACAGAACATGTCTTTGGAGAAAGCCAGCGTCCTCTTCAACATTGGTGCCCTCTACACCCAGATCGGTACCCGCAGCGACAGACAGACGCGCGCCGGCCTTGAGGAGGCCATTACTGCCTTCCAGAGAGCATCTGGTTAGTCTTTATTATTGAGAATAATAAAGTAATGTGAACAATTTAATATAAGGATAACAATGAGCTTGCTTTTACTGTTCATGGCTTGCAAGTTAACTAGCTTGCTAACTGTACCAAAATGGAAGAAAAACAGTTAGCAGTCCCCAAACTGATTTTTTTTTAAATAAAAGCTTACAAAAAAAGTAAAAAAAAAATATGTACATCGACCAGCAGGATGTACACCTCCTTGTACTTACATTTTAACAGCTCCACTTACCATATAGGTGCACCACTTTGTAGTACTACAATTAAAAACTGTTCATCTATTTCTCTGCATAATTTGTTCGTCCCCCTTTCACTCGGTTCCTGCTCAGGACTGTCACAGAGCAGGTGTTGTTTAAGTAGTGGGTCATTCTCAGCACTGCAGTGACGCTGATGTGGTGGCGTGTTAGTGTGTGTTGCACTGGTATGGGTGGATCAGGGGAGAGTGTGTAGGTGTTCTTTTTTTCCAAAGGCTTGAACATTTCAAGTCCCATTGCTATCAAAACAAACTTACCACCCTCTTTTCATCGTTCACACCCACACACACAGCCCTTCTTTGTGCTTTGTGGAAGGAAGACACATATATGGCTGGTTTCCAGCTTGTCACATTGGCACTTCTCAAAGGGGGCTGTGACAAGCAAATGACAGACATACTGTCTGCCTCTCAAGCATAACAAGTCTATCTTATCTCTCTTTCACTCTGAATGCCACCTTATGAAAAGCTCAAGATGCTTTCCAGGCCCAAACAACAGAAGCAGAAGTTTCTTTTTTTAGCAGTGGGCCTTTGAAATGCCTAGTTCTAGAGATGAAATGTTCCTGTCTACGAGAAAGCACATAATATCATATACTAGATAGCAATCGTTAGTCTTACATTAGCATGAACGTGTGAGAAAACTGGGCAGCACGGTGGCACAATGGGTAGCGCTGTCACCTCACAGCAAGAAGAACCTTTGTTTAAAGAGCTAGGGTCCTTTCTGTGTGGAGTTTGCATGTTCTCCCCGTGTCTGTGTGAGTTTTCTCTAAGAGCACCGGTTTCCTCCCCAAGTCCAATGCTGTCAGGTGAAATGGAGATGCTAAATTGCCCCTAGGTGTGAATATATATGTCTGGATGTCTGCCCTGTGATGGACTGGCAGCTTTGTTGGCTTTTGCCCAGTGAGTGCTGCGATAGGCTCCAGCAACCCCACACGACCCAGGAGGATAAGTGGCATAGATAATCTGTGTGTGTGTGTGTGTGTGTGTGTGTGTGTGTGTGTGTGTAAGAAAACTCTTTCACACACATGATTGTTTGATAATAAGACTGAGCACAGATTTAATTATAAATATACTAATCATGAAATATTTATTTATTATGTTTTTGTTTTTTCTCATAGGAGTTCTGCATCACCTGAAAGAGACTTTTACACACACTCCTAGCTATGACATGAGCCCAGCCATGTTGAGTATGCTGATAAAGATGATGCTAGCACAGGCTCAGGAGTGCCTGTTTGAAAAACTTGCTCTGCCAGGGATCCGTAATGAGTTCTTCAGCTTGATTAGAATGGCACAGGAAGCTGCTAAGGTACTACTCTAACAACTAGATTACTTCTTACAGAAAATCAGCAAGCTATTGCAAAAAACTAAGGTTGTCACAAATACTCGCTTTAAAGACAAATGGATAAAATTTACTTTCTCAGTGAACTGGCACTTTGAATAATGATGATGCATAATTTAACCTTGTTTTTTCTTAGAACTTAGTACACAGTTTTCTTGTTTGTGCTGTTCTATGTGTACAAGCAACATGTAAGTTTGTACTAAACTTTTACACCCTTTACCATTACGCCTGTTTTCTATCCTGTCATAGGTGGGAGAAGTGTATGACCAGGTCCATCAGTCAATGATCCAGATGCCCATTAAGGACAACGTACCCTTTTTCTGGTCCACAATGGCGCAAGTGAAGACCCAGCACTATCGTTCCCTCGCTCATTACTTCATCTCCACTGCTCTATTGGACCACCAGAGTAAGTTGATTAACCGATTGCAGCTCTTACATCAACTTCAAAAGCAAGAGTTGCCTGTTAGTCTCTGCTGACTGGCTGAAAGCCCAGTGCAACCTTTAAAGAGACAGAGTCTTCACGTTCAGCTCTTTCAGCACCCTCAAGGGAATGGTGATTTGGGGTAAGAAGAGTTTAACAGAGTTGCCTTACGTTCACAAAGATTCTAATGAGGCCAGGCTGGTGTACAAAACTATTATTAAAGCCTTCTACTGAGGGAGAAGGAAAGCAGGAGCCAGAAAGTAAAAGGAAGAGAAGGGAGGACAGAAGTAAAAGGACAGAAAGGGAGGTGAGACAGAGAGAGAGAGTAAATGGGATTATGCAATACTTTTATTGTTGTTCAAACACACTAGGGGCTGTTTTTGGCCGGGGCTTTACACTGCTCCCACAGAGGGTAGAAACTTTATCAGTTCCCTCCCAGTGCCAGAAACAGCAGCCTTCTAGAGCTGCTGATAAAGCACAGATCCCTGTGGATGCCTTTAGTGACGTGACTTCAACATGAAACAGACTTCCAGCTCTGGTTCTGTGTTGAGAGGCTATTTACAACATCATCATCTTCCTTTTTCAGGAGGTGTAAAGAAAAGATTCAACCCTCAGCCTTGCTTGGAGCTTTGGGTGCATCAATGGGGCATCAGCTGTATCATATGATGATTAATAATGATACATAGCACTGTGTAAATTCACAGGCACCTGAAAGAAGTAGAATAATATAGAATTTGAATAAATATAAATAAGAAATAATACAAATGAGATTGTTGTTTTATGTCTGTCATCAGTTACCATCCAATTCTTAGTTCATCTCATCAGTGCTATATTAAATGCTACTAGTAGAGTTTTGACACATCTATGTGATGAGCTGCAGTGAGGAGAAAACAAAACCTGTGTTTTTCTGAATGGCTCACAAGATATCAATACATTTTTTGAAACAAGAAACTATGTTTTCTTTTCACTGCATTAATGTTGTGTGTATGCCTGCAGTAAACCCCAGTGATGATGAGGATAAGCAAGAGAAAGCTCTCTCTCAGCTGTATGACGCAATGCCAGATGGACACTCACCTCTTGACATCCTGCGGCAGAAAGACGAGAGGCGCCGCATAGGTGAGACACTTCTACTACTGGTGCTCTGTATGGGACATCCACTTTCATCTAAACTAACATTTCTTTTTAAAACTGGCGAAAGGACAAATACATTTCAAGTTTTAAGATGGCTGATTAAATAGATTTCTGGCTAAAACATTGCTTTAAAGAAATTCTAGACCCTAGAACTCTCAACAACTACATGCTAGCATGGAAACTCAATTCTCTGTAGAATTAAAAAGCTAAACATACCACCTTTAAGTGCTGTATGATATTTTTTAAATAATATAACCTTGGACTTCTCATTTGCCCCACTTTGTCCCACCTTTCACAGGTAAGGCTCACCTGAAGCGTGCAATAATTGGCCAGGAGGAAGCGCTGCGCATCCAAGGGCTCTGCCGTCACCTCCGAAAGCTGGACATGCTCAACGACATCCTGCAGGCCAGCCACAAGCGGTCTCTCAGCAAGTTCGAACAGTATGACAAGGAAGACGAGTTCACTGACTACATGGACGCACCAGACATCATCTGTGAGTCAAAAGGCAAAGGCAAACAGGCCAGAATGAAACAATCAATACACACAAAAACTGTTCTACAGGACTGTTGCATTTTACATAAATCATAAAAACCTAAAGCTTTGTTGCTGACTGTAACTTCTCCCTTTATAATTACACAAAGCATGTAGGTAATCAGCTCATATTGTAGTCAGGATAACAATAAATTCTAACTCTGATCTCATATTAAGTATAAAACCTTCCTTGTTCTTTAACATAACTTGATTACAGTTTGAATCTCTCACAAATATTTATTGTTACAGAAGTGATGATGAGGATGACAGTTATTTCTATGTCCTCAGTTATAGTTGCCCTCCTTGAAATGTATATTGTAAAAACATCAATATTTAATAATGCTCCCACCAAAAGTGCACAAACTGTACATCTTGAGTCCGGAGCAGAAGATGGTAACATCAATTTTGTTAACACTCCTTGTTCTTATTCTCCCAGCTAAAACTGAGCTGAAAGCTGAAATGGAAGTTCCTGCCTCCATTAAGGTGAAAGTCAAAGACATATTCCACCGACTGGTATGTGGGCTACTAATTTTTCACCCTAACATTTTTCACCTTTTCACATCACTCGTGGGGTCTGTTCACAGCATTGCAATGCTTTTTCACGATTTGTAACTGGAATTTGTTTAAAGAGCACATTTACTACACAAGCTTGTGTGCTGTGCTGAACAGATCCATACAAAGCCTTTTTCACGCTGTTCATACAAACTCATACAACACGGCCGAGATAGTGTCAGACTTTGGAAAGTTTAAAAAAAAAAAGTTTTTCATCAAGCCTTTTTGAGTGTGAGTTTGTTTGTACAGAATGAAAAACTCTGAAGGCACTTTGGTTGTACTAACATGAATGACGATGGTGAAATACTGTGTCTCCATTAGAAGTGCACATTTTAACACAGCAGTAGGAGTGCACAAATTTAACCTTGAGTTTAAAATAAGGCTCGTGAGTTATTGCTGTGTCGCAATATTCTGACTGAGGTGTGTGTATGTGTTTGTGGATGGCTAACAGACACACCCAGGCACTGCAGTAAGTAGACAGACTGGTTGGCCTGTTGCTCTTTATTGTAATTTTTTACTGTTTTTCTGCCCCACAACTAGACCAAACCAATCTAGATTCAATTCATTTGTGATTCTACACTTCTTAGTCTACATTTCTTGAGGAATTCCAGAGATTGTATTGAATCTAAATTGGACAGGATTAGTGGGGCAGATTAAGCCAGGTGAAGGGTCTGGTGTTTGCCTTGGTCACTGTCCTCAGCTACAGTACATTGCAAAAGTCAGAGACCACCCTATAAAAAGTTAATTTCCATTCATTTTCCTGTCAAAACAGCCATTAATTTAGTTCTTTTAATTAGATAAAGTGCTGTGAAAAAGTATTGCCACTCACTTGATTTCTTCTATTTTTGCTGATTTGTCACATTTAAATGTTTCAGATCATCCAGCTAATTTTAGTATAAGATAGACAACACGATTAACCACAAAATTCAGCTTTTTAAATGATCATTCCATTTATTGAAGATTTTTTCAAAACCTATGTCACCCATCTAAAAAAGTAATTGCCCCTAAACCTAATAACTGGTTGTGCCACCCATGGCAGTAACAACTGCAATCAAATGTTTGTGATAACTTGCAAAGTGTCTTTTACATCACTGTGGAGGAATTCTAGCCAATTTTTCATTGAATAATTGTTTTTAATTCTACATTGCTACATTGGAGGGTCTTTGAGCATGAACTGCCCGTTTAAGGTCTTGCCACAGCAGCTCAATCGGTTTCAGGGCAGGACTTTGACTCAAGCACTCCAAAACCTTAATTTTGTTTGTTTTGAGCCTTTCAAACAGAACAGCACTTTTCCTTCATTACATGAAATGATAATTTAAAAACAGCATTTATCCGATTTTCAAAGTAGTTTCATGATCAGAAACAGTCAAGTGTGACAAATATGCAAAAATAGGCGAAATTAGGAAGGGGCAAATTCTTTTTCAAAGCACTGTATTTCTGATGAGAATATAAGATAATCCCCTTGAAAAGTAAGAGAAAAGTCAAAAGAATGAAAGTTAAAAAACAGGAGTTTCCAAACCTGTAGTTCAAAAAATTACTAATAGATACAAGAGAAAACGAGACTTCTCCTTCACCGAAACTGTCCCTATCATATAAACAGTACTTAAATCATTCTTGGTTAAGAGAAAATCAAGCTCTTCTCTTGATTCAGAATTTGAAAAAATCCACAGGTGTTTCTGTCCTTCCACTATGAGAAAACAACACTGTGGGTCTGAAAGGGTGTTTAGCTGTTAAGATGCTACTGCTTAAATGTTACATATCAAATAATGAGGCTGCTGGTGATTTCAGCACGATGGGCTGACCACCCCAGAGCCCAGAGGTGTGGAAAATATGTCAGCAACAGATGTCTTCAAAGAACTGAAAGCAAGTCTCCTGAAAAGAATGGAAGCTGTAATAAAGGCAGCAAAATACTGAAACATTAAGTTTATTTGTTGTACTTTTCTGTTAAATATATGTTTTCTTCTGTGCCTTGTTCCTAATTCTGAAAAATGAAATAACATGTACCCAAAGTCTGTTTTGACTGGAAATTATATAAATGAATGGTGATCTCTGACTTTTGCACAATACAGTACCTCCAGACATCTGAGAACAATCACAGAGAAAAGTAAAAAAGTGATGATTCCCTTGAATTTAAACTATTTTAAATGAAACTGTTTGTGCTATTTTGATATCCTAAAACTTTGATATGAGGCTATGAGTTTGATCCTCTGATGGCTGCTTCTGCCACTGTCTTTCAAAAATTCGTTTTAACCCCAGGTTTCTCCTTCAATGTTAATCATAATCAGCTGAAACCAGTCTATGGCAGAAACATGTCAGTGAAGGAAGCTGGCTAGCAATATCAAATCTTCTGTGAACTCCCATAACATAAACCCCCCAACCTTTATCTCTGACTGCATGGTATTTATTTGTTTTGAGGAAAAAAACACATCTGAAGGTTTTAGTTTTCTTTATGTGAAATGGTATACTTTTTATTTTAAAAGGATCTTTGTTTTATTTTTTGTTGTTTTTTTTTCAACCCCCACCCAGGCTAGTTAAAAGTTATTTTTTATTGCAGCCTGGTAGGCTCCAGAGGCTGTAAAAACAAAGTACTTTACCAGCTGACCGGTGCCTCTGTTGAATGCAGTGGCCTTTTCCCAGGCTGCCCTTGGAACAAGTTGCCATACTATAATGGTTCCCAGTTCTGGTCCTGCTGTAACTAACTTATAAACTAATTAACAAGCCTTTCTTGAGAAAGTGGGTGTGTTGGAGCAGGGAGAACAATAAAATGTGCAGAATAGGCTAAGGGTGGCCAATATGATGTCACTGTTAGGACGAATCACATCAGTAGATATTGAGTAACATCAGTATTTGTAAAAGTGCATTTAAGCTGACTGTGGAGAGCTTGTAAACAACCAGTGCTGTCACTCTGTCAAAACTGCCCAGTAACGAAAAGCTCATAGTGGATTTTTTTTTTTTAAGCAATTGTTTTATTTTTCTTATTGTTCCTATTATCATGAATAGTCAGTTTGCGATGAATTGCAGTTTAGTGTCAGGATTTGCACATAAATTGCGTCTGCAGTGATGTCCATGAAGTTGGACAAGGTGCCATTCGCTGCTTTTAAGATGCACAAAAGGAAATCGTGTGTGCCCATGTTCCATATCAGTTCTGATATGTTGGCTAGCTTCATAATGTTCTAAAGCAGCATGGATAAAAAAAGTAATTGTGCTTCATGAACAGATAAAGCCATGTTGCAGCTTTCTGCGGACGGAATCAAAAAACTCAAAAACATGAACGAGGGTTTTTACGCTGTGGTTCCATTAAAGTCATTAAAAACAACAAAAAAAGAAAACAGTATATAGCTTAGCCTAATAACAGTAATAGCGTAACGTAACAGTACTGCCCATATTGTCCATATGTTGTGATGGTGTGATGTCATAGTGGTGCTTTTGTGGTACAGGGCCCACTGTCTGTGTTCTCGGCAAAGCAGAGGTGGACAGCACCGCGCACAGTCAGACTGAAGGTTGAGGATAGAGACCTGGGCTTCACTCTGAAGGGGGACGCTCCTGTCCAGATCCAGTCGCTGGACCCCCTCTGTTATGCAGCTGTGAGTACACACAAACAAAGAGCTAACATACGTGTATGAATAAAAATCTGATCAGCTATGTATTTTTCCAACAGGCTACCCAACACATACTTCACTGTTTTTTTTTAACTTTTTTAATGAAGGACCTTAAATTCTTACCGCAATGCAGTCTGTCTCTGTTTCTCACTCTTTATCTGTCTTTCTCTCCTCATTAATAGTTGTGTAATGGTGAGCAGGCTTAATGAGAGAGGACAGACCGATTAGTGAGATTACATAACATCTCCCAGATGGGCCTTTCACTGCAGACCGTCTATAATTATACCTTACCACTCCCTCAGTGCTCTAAGCTCTCTCACATCCTCTCTGTCTGCCTCTCTCTGTCTCTGTGGTATAAAAAAAAAAAGTAGGGTACTGGATTAGCTTTCTGTTTGGTTCCCACAGAGAAAGAAGCAAAATGATCTTCTTTTTCTCCCCCTCTCTGACCACTTTCTCACACATGTGCACCTGTTTCTGGCTTCAGTTCTAAAAAAGCTGTCTAGCTGTCTAAAGCAGCTGCGTATTTGGTCAGGAATAGCCGTGTGTGTGTTTGTACTCTCTTTTGTTGGAGCACATCAGTCAGTCCTTCCAGTGAGTAATAGTGTGGTGTAACAGCAAGCTACATTTTGTTGTGTTAGGATGTGTGTCTGCTCTTTCTATGATAAGCACTTTGTAAATATTTGCCATGTGATAAAAAGTGTCTCTTTCACACAGCATGATTTATTGTACCTCTGTGTGACCTTTTCTTTTTCTCTGTCCCTTTCTCCCTCTCTTTGCTGTTATCACTCCATTCCCAGGCGGATGGATTGAAAGAGGGCGATTACCTGGTTGCTGTGGGTGATACAGATTGTAAATGGATGGGGGTGAGCGACGTCATGAAACTGCTGAAAGATGTGGATGAGGAAGGCATCGACATTAAAGTGGTCAGCGTGATGGACAGTAGCAGCCAGCCAATGGTAACTCTTCTGTTACCACCCTAAACCGCTTCTTTGCTTTATTGGCTGGGAGTTCAATTTTCAGTCTGCCACAGATTGTGCTGAAAGAAAACCGAATGCTGTCTGTCTCTGTCTTACTCTCTCTTGAAGATGATCTAGCAGACAGAGTTGAAGTAGTTAAGTTTCATTTGTTTACATGTGTTTATTGCTAATAATCCATTATCAGCAAAAGACTAGAACACATGTAATTTCCTTAAGTCTCAGAAATGTGGAAATATTACTGTAATTTTGGCCTACCTGTTAAACTAGGGCCTAACCAATATAAACATTTTGTGGATGATGCCAGTATTGATTCTAGATATTGGAAGTTCCAATAAATCAGTGTAAATTTCTATTATTTTTTTTATTTTTTAATATTATTCTACTATAGTTTTAGTTAAACTGCTTTACTGACCATCATTTCCTGTTTATTACACTCTACTCAAATAAATTACAGAAAGTCAGTTTCAAAGTTTAAAAAACAATTTTTTCTTACGTTTTAGTGTTCAGATTCACCAGTTCAACCTGTATTGCTGTCATATAAAACAATGCACAACGATAAAGTTTTACATCATCAAGAGGTCGCAACTTTGAGCACTGCCCAAGATAAGCTGCTAATTATCGGCATGCTATCAGGGATATTTTTGCTGATATCAGTAAAACCAATGGTCAATGTTTTTTTTCAGCCACCCAATATATCTGTTGGGTCCTAATTTAAATATAATTACATAACTAATTACATTGATAGTTACGTAATGAAATATTAATGAATATTCTGTATTAACAAGTTTGATTCTTCGTTCAGACTTTTGTTTTAGTGTGAAATGACAAAAACATGGCAAAAATATAAAGGATGTGTGTTTCTTTCCACAAAACACGACTGTATGCACGACTAACTTTTCATCAAATTCAGATCATAATACCCTATCTTCTCTTCTACTTATAAACACGTATAGTATTGATTTGAAAATTCCAAATCTTCAGTTTGGACAGAATTTCTCCAATTTCATTCATGAGCTATGGGTGGGAAATAATTTATACTGAACTACACCATGCTTTTGTTATCGCATCTTCTAAGGGTTAATATGCCTTATCCTTTCTGTCTCCCAACACAGCCGGCAAAAAGTGCCACGTATTCCGGCGGCCTGCCCAAGACTTACTCCATGATCTGTCTGGCTTTCGACGATGACGACAAGAATCCGAAGGGGCGCAAAGTGACCAAGAAGACGTCCTTCCTCAGCTGGGGGGTGAAGAACAAGCACAAGAGTGCCAGCACCCTCAGCCTGCCCACTGCGGACTACAGTGGAGCACTGCCTATACACAAACCCTGCCCCACCTTCCCCAGCTCCTACAATGACAGTGCCCTGTACTAAACACAACACGCAGGCATGCACATTCAGACTGAACAAATGTTACATCCACAAACACTGATCAGCCTATTCTGTTCCACAGTGAGGAGAAAGTGGATTGCTCAAAAGGAAATCAAAAGGACCTTCTTGCACAGAATCTTTAGTTTGAAGGAATGTCAATAGCTTTTTCGTGTATGGCGTTTATACCAGCTGAAGAAAGTTTTATAGGCCGGAGGATGATTTGCATTATTCATTTTTAGACTACAGTTAACCCAAGTGTTAAAAAATAGGATTTACTTATATGGGATGTTAGGAAATTCAGTAGAATATATGCTACATATCTGTTCAACTGTGCCATTTATGGGAGGAAATCTGATGATGCATATACTTTATTCAGTAACTAAAAGGACTCTGGTTTTATCAATCAAATGACAACTGCTGCTGCTGTACAATTTTTCCCATGTTTTGCTGTATTTTTGTACTGAAACGTCAACGATGATTGTGAGGTGAAGTTGTTTTCTTTGGTTAAGCGTGATGTTTGCTTAGGTTAGTTCTTTTTCAGCTGTTGCGTAAAACTCCTTCTGGGATATTGCCAGAGTTTCTTTTAGTGGCCGTCTTACACTCCTGTCCTTCGCCTGCACTCTGTAGTTGTTAGCATAGAAATAGATTTGTCCTACTGTCGTCAGCCGTCTGTGGCATTTGCGCGCAGGGCACTGCTGCCAAATGGAACCTTTTCACTCTAGTTCTGTTCCTCTTGGGATTAGAGGACAGGTCACTAAAGTCCAGTAAAGTTCCCTTTTCCCTGCAGGAATTTATCTCACTTTTGCAATCTTGTAATGAGCTTCTGTTCAGGGGTAGTTCAGGAGCTTGGTGGGATTTCTGTAAGGATGTTCTTAAACTTTGTGTCGTGTGGATGATTTGTGAGATGTGGCAACTGTAGTGTGAAAGGTTGTGAGTGTAAGAATTTGTTGAATGTGGAATTTATGTGGTGTTTTTTTTATGTGATGTTATCTTTATGAATCTTAGTGAACTGTTGAATGCACATGGAAGGGAATAGACTCTGGTGGTGCTTGGGTTAAATATATTACCAAACTCAAGCTTGAAGGATTTAAACAAACAAAAAAAAACAATCATCTAATGTTTTCCCACTTCCTATTTTTATGTATTTACTAACACTTTTCAAAGTGTTGGATATATCTCACTGTCTACAAGGTAGATTCTTATGCATATTTGATAATCAAATAATTAAGATGCACAAAAAGAAAAAGATCTATAAATGTAAGTATGTATTCATCAGAGCCTTTTGTCATGTTTAGTGATTTTGTCCAACTGTGGCTAGGTGTACATGTTGTTGAGTAGATTTTTGATGCCACAGGTGAGCAGTTGGTTACATTCCATCTGTACTGCTTTCTTTAAACTACATCAAATGGACTTTTATATGTGTACAATGCAATTAAGTATTTGAATTCTTCCTTCTATTTTGAGTCTCTTCGATGTTGCTGTTGTTGGTCACTTAAAATGTCTTATTCTCTTTCAAGACTGGATATCCAAGCCTGCTCTTTGCGAAACGAACTCTTTAGCTTGTACACTTTGTATTATGAATGTCATTCTCTCAAGTGTCTTCACTAGAGTAGACATATGTAGAGTCCTCTATTAAAACTATATAAGATTAATAATGAAGAGTAATGTAGTGTTAAATGCCGATAAGAAGTCCTCATAGCAGGTAGTAAGGTCAAATGTGCAAGCTGATTAATGCTCCTTTTAAACATTTTTATTGTAGTTCACTGTTTTGAAAGAACGTATTTATGTTTCTATTTTATGGTTTAAGTATTAATGTATTCTCAACGATTTAGAATAGCAGCAAAAGGCAAGTATTCCATGTTGTTACTGTACCCATGGGGTTTAGGTATGAATGGTATTTCTGTTTGAACAGGTCACACTCCTCTTTGGCCAAACCCTTTCCATTCACTTTGCCCTTATGCTTGCTTTGGCGTCTCTGCTGTCTGTGTACAGTGGAATTTGGTGATGTGTTTTATTTGACTTTCGTCACTTTATATCTTATACATGTAAACCTGAAGTTAAATAAAATATGGGGTGATGTTTCATCTTGCAATGAATCCATTCTTTTCTAACGTGATTGGGTCTCCGTACTCTCTGTGTCTGTGTGCGTGCGTGCGTGTATGTATGTATGTATGTGTGTGTGTATATATATGTGTGTATATATATATATATATATATGAGACTGAAACTTGGTTAGGTTACCGGTCATATTTACAGTCAATGATGTATCTAGGCCAATATCTGATGTATAGATGTATCGATCTCAAAATTGGTCTCACCCTTTGTAAATCAAAACCTGATTGGTTGAGTCCACTGTCACTTCCTAGTTATGTTAGTGGCTAATCTGACACCGATTAGACTGATAGGAAATCTTGATTGGCTAATTTTCCATTAGGCGTTTCAACAATTTAAACATCAATAAAAGTAGTACTTGCAGATTGTAAACACAATAAGCATGATGACTATATTAAATGAAAAGAAACTAAAAAATTACATGCATTCCATTATTTCACAGAAATCATTAGGCCTTCTCTAAAGAAGTAGAAGGACGCTGGTATATATGAAGTGTTCATGTCCTTAGCTGGGTGTAAACAATCAATGTGTTAAAATGTTAAAGCTTTAATCACAATGTTTTTAGAGCCACATTAAATGTAAATTGACTGGTGCTACACAAACCAGGTTACACATTCTCTAGAAGGATAGTCCTAAAATGCTAACCTGGTTAATGGTGGAAATTTGAAAAATGTCATTGCAACCTGAGCAGCCCTGAACTGGATTTTACTGATTTTATCTTTAGTCGCTGGTCCCACTCTTTTGTTTACAATGATGACTATTCTTCGCTTCTTTCTTCCAGAGATTCTATAAAAGTGGCATGCCTTGTCATGTCTTCCTTTAAGCAAACAATTCTCAGAAAGCCGCTCACGTCCCCTGAGAAATGGGCCTTGTTTTTGTGAATAAAACCTGAGTGTAAGAGCGCATCTGTTGCATGGGTGTGCACAAGGGATTTTCATTGGAAAGATGATCTAGTGTACATATACTAAAAATAAAATGTGCATCTGTCTGTAAACTGACTGCTGCCACAGATAAACAGGCATTAATGAAGACTCAGCTCTTCACAGAGGAGCTGAAACTCACTTTAGTCTAATAAGAGTTGTATGTTTTCCTGGATGACCTTAGCAACCCACCAAGAGAGAGAATTAAAAAAGTTTTCCTGTCCTTCAGCTGGGCATCACTCATTCTCTCCTCAATGCTTCCTCTGAACATCATGTGGTGCACTAATGGACTTAAAATTATTCCCAGGCAGGGGAATTCTGGACTGTGGGCTGGCTATTAAAGAGAGAGCTTCTTCACGCCAGTAGTGATGTCAGAGTGGTTTAGCATGTGTGTGTATGTGTGTGTGTGTGTGATAGAGAGAAAGACTCTGACCTTGAAACCATTTATTTAACCTCTTTATCACAATCTAAAAATATTCAACAAGTATGCAGCTTACACTGTAAGTCCCAAGATTAGAAAACAAGGGCTTATCCAGCATTTCTTCTGAAATCAAGAGTATTAATAAGAGTTTGTCCCCCCCTTTGCTGCCTCCACTCCTCTGGGAAGACTTCACACTAGAGGTTTGAACATTGCTGTGAGGATTTGATTGCATTCAGCAGCAAGAGCAGTAGTGAAGACAAGTACTGATGTTGGATTATTAGTTCTGGATCACAAATGCCATCCAGCTCATCCCATAGGTATTAGATGGGGCTTTTCAATTCAAAGAACGCAGTTCTGCTGCTCCACAGCTCAATGCTGGGGGGCTTTATACCCCTCTAACTGACGCTTGGTATTGGAAATGGTGACCTTAGGCAGTGCAGCTGCTCCAGAACATTCCATTCTGTTGGCAATGCTTTTCTATGGAGGTCATACAAGCTGTGAGTGTGAAACTGAATGCCTGTGTCGGCAGTGGGTGCACTTTTTAGCTGAATTTACTAATTACTTTTGGACATACAGTGTACTTTTTGCCTGTTGGGCCTGCAAATCCCTGCAGGTATTGTTAGGCAGGAATCGAGAACTCTGTCTAGACGTCTGAAGAGAAGAACCAACCGCAAACTTACAAAGTGGTGAAATATCTGAAATTGTATGATGGCACAAAAATGGCCATAGCAATCACACAGTGTAATATCCTCCACTTGCATCTGAAAGTTCTGTCCTGAGGACTCATACAACACCCTTCATGAAGGTCGTAGTTGCTCATTTGTAAAGAGATGAGGCCTCCATTGTGTATCTGATTACCCTTTCCGCTCATCAGAATGTGAAGATTATACTCAGACCTAGAAAGAAGAGATGTTGCCCCTCACTATGTTCATCCACAGACACAACTGGAAAAACAGCCAAAGCAACAGTTAAAAAGACGTTAAAGGGGAACTCTTTTCGAAAAATCTGCATAATTAAAGGGTTTGAATTTAAAACAAAGTCAATTAGAGTGGTTTGGTGTAAAATGCTCTGTTCTAGAGAAACGTACAGAGTCAGAATTGTTCACAGTGGTAGTGAACCAGAAATCTGAAGAGTTTAATGCCTCTGAAAGCTCCATCAGAGAAAGATATTAAATGGAAAGGTTAGATATATGCTGCTTGATGTCTGACACATTGTTTCATGATAATTTTGTATTATAATATTTTGACATAAAATGTGTTTTAATCCATTTATCCATTTATTTTAAAACACATTCAGGGCACATTCAGGGTGCTGTCAGGCAAAATAGTCTCCGAAGAAAACTTATTTGTTCAGATTTAACACTATTTTACCATCATTAAAACTTATATAGAAAAACTCCAAAGACATGTGTAGGTTCACTGGTGGTTTTGGATAGTAAGCAAAATGGCTATATTTGTATTGCAGACATTGGGACCCCTGGTTCCCATCACCAGCAGTGTAAAGAAATGTGAATCAGTAAGTTTCTCCACTATGAACCATTTCACATCAAACCAAACTGAATGACTGTGTTTACATCTCAAAGCCTGAATTTTTCAGGAATTTTGAAAGGTTGGTGGAATTCCACTTACGCCAGCATGTCAAACCTAATCTCTATATAGTATATATATATATAATATCTGCTGCACCTGTAGCATACAATTAATTTACCTTGTACATTTGCCTGTACTTAGCATAGAATTGAAAATCTGTTGACTCTTAATACACTTACAATAGAAGCCAATGGGCACTTGCTTTAGTTCCTGCTGAATCAGGATCTATCACGTGTTTTAAGTACAGGAAAATTGTTGTCTGTAATCCGCTGTATGATATGGATGTGGCAGATACAGATTAGGTTAAAAATGCTTTCTGCATATTCAACATATTCCTCTTTGTTCTCTCCAACCTGAAATCAACAAGGTCAGTTAGAGCTTGTGTGGACTGCCATCTCATTTTCTTAAATCAACCTGTGCCTAATCTTAATTACTCCTGCTTTAGAAAAAGCTGCAGCAGTGGTAATGGACTGATGAAGAAAAAAACAGTGAGAAAAGAATGGTTCACCACACTGCTCATCATTTTCCCTTGATGCTTTAAACAGCCTCCAAGCATCCAGTGCCGGTCCAGAAAAACTACACACTAAAGCTGGGAAGACAAGCAATTTTGAAAAATCATTAAATAAGGATAAATATGTTTTCATGATTTAAAACCAATGGTATTTTATGGTAACATTTTTAGCAGAATGGGCTGTTTTACAACATTCTGGAAAATCGTAAACAACTGTTTGACATATACCAGCCCTCTAAAGCTCCAAAGCACTGGCCAGGCCAAAACTTATCCAGGGGAAATTGGCCCTTAATCATCAACGTTGTGTACAAGATGGAAGATTTGACCACCTTTAACTGATTTGTAAAACTTTCGTACAATATGGAAACAAGTGGAGTTTACAGCGCAAATGATGAACGAGCTTCAGCCTGCCAGTGTCTCATTTACATATAATTTACATAAAGCATACTCTAATTCATTCGTGAGGAGCCAATAAAAGGACAGCACAACTGCCTTAAGAGCGAGTGGCTGTTTGAGGTTGGGCAGGAGCGCAGTACTCCCCCTACTGACCAAACTTTACAGTGTTAAAATGACAAAGACAGAAAGAACAAAATATAAAATAAATAAGTTTTAATAAATAAAATTCTAAGATGGTAGAATGATGTGATTGTGTAGAGCGATTATTTTCCTAAAATAACATATTTAAATGCTGTATTATTGCAGCGTATGAGAGGCTTCTGCACTGTGGTTTTGGTCAGTAGTGTAAAACAAAAGCACAGTGTAATATGTCTTTACATGGAACATGGAGTGGTTGCAGCATTTGTTTACACCGATGTGCATGTAAAATAAGTACATCTACATTTGTACTGGATTGCCATGTGCACAAAATGTTAGTGTTATTGTATTTTTCTGTTTTTATCCTTATTATTGGTATTACGTTACCATAATAATAGCTTTTGCTTAGTTTACTAATAATACATTCAGGTTATTAAACTATTACACTTAAATAAAAAACAAAAAAAAAGCTCTTTGCACTACCATCTCTGAAAGATGGTAATAAACCAAACCCCCCTCCCCCCCCGACCCCCCCCTCAAAAAAAAATCTAAATTTGTACCACACATCATCTAAATCTGGGACATGTATATTCTAAAACTACGCAATATTTGTTGACTTCGTTATTGGGTTATGAACTGATGTGTCCCAATTCTCTTACCATCCATATCCACACAAATATTTGCACCCATCCCACTGATGTAGGGATGACAGCCAGAGACTGATAAAAATCCACGTCAGTCACCATATTTGTCAAGACTAATTAGACAGTTTATATATAGACTAGGTTCCCAGAAGTGTATCACCTAAAATAGAATGCATTGTAAAGGGATATCTTGCTGACTCTACAGTTGCCGGACAATAGGATTAAGAAGTGTGTTAAACCTAGACTAGGCCCGCTACTGACCTCTCTACTGACCCACAAGGCCTTTTTCTAGAGGTGAGGAACAGATCCCTGTTGGATGAAACCTAGCCTATAAAACTACACATACATTTAAATAAATAAATGTCTAATAAACTGTTGATGAGTTAACAATATCTCTTAAAATGCTTCAGTAATGAGGGTGAACTGTTTATATTAAATCCAACAAATTAACCACTGAATGACACAAATGCAGAAATATTTCTCTCCTGAATTGTTGGATTCAAAGTTCTGTGACTATTTCTAAAATCACACAACCTACATTTAAAGGCACAGAACATACACATATATAAGGAAACAGTCAGTATGCATTCAAAATGTAGATTAACAATGTATTGGAAGTGATGCACATTATAGGTTGTAAGAGAAAACATGCTGTTAAATCTGACACTGTCCTATGATTGACCGACGGTACAGACAAAAAAATGTTTCCCCAAAATGAACTACAAAGTCTGTCTTGCTGACCATTATCACACATCCCACCAAAAAGGCACAGAGCCACGGGATTTGTAGTTCAACTGTTTTTTGGTTTTTCTTTACAGTTAAATTGCTCAGCAAAATGTCCTGCTATTAAATTGAATTTGTAGCTGCTGTGCTTAATTGGTAGCAAAATAACCGTTTACCTTCCAGCTAGCTAAAGTTATTTAGCACATTAGCGAGTCTAAATACTAATGAAAACGCCTTAAATACACAGCTGCAACTTTAATTTGAGGCTGAACGGACTAACCTGTCAGACAGTGCGCTTAAAGCAGTCAGTGCTGCTGCGCTGCCTCTCGCTGTGTGGTGGAGTTGATGGAGATTATGTTAGAGCACCCTCTGCCGGACACTAAGCGCAGTGCTGGAGCCAGACTGGCGTTGCTAAGAGGATTAAAGCTCGGCCGTGAGTGGCTGTTCAGGAATCTCTAAGCCAATAGGATGTGCTGTTGTTGAAATGTAGACGAGGATGTAGAGCGTCTGGATACGTGAACTTCAGTAGAAACCCGCAGCCTGAATGAGCCGCACACAAGGCACAGGGCTGGTTGTTTATATAAAACGATCCTGATTTTTCTCTTTCATTTCACGTGTACATATTCCAGATTATTTCAGAGTACCCAGGCTTGTCTAGTTCGCTTTTTGTAACGGCTCGGTTCTCACAGAAACGAGGAGAAACTTTTTTATCGTCATGTCAAAATTCAGCTTCAGTTTCAGAAGAAGCGAGCGGAAGGCATTTGTGAGTTTTCACTAAAACTAACGTTCGCTGCTCACTGTGTGTCACATTTGTCACACCTGTAGCTCATTCGCGTCCACGGTTTGTTCTGTTTTTACTGTTTACGGTTTGTTTGCCACTGCATTGCTAAGCTACGCTGCTATCTAGTTCCCTTAAGGTTAGCTAAGCTAAACTCTTGTGTGCCCAGTTTAACTGAACCTTCCTGTCTGTTGTCGTAAGTTAAAACGGCATTTTTGGTACTGCGGTACAGAAACCCTAAGGTGACATGGTGATTTTTTTTTTGTTTTAGTAAAGCGTGGCCACGAGATAATATATTGAGGCCACGAGTTAAGTTTCTCATAACGCGTGTAGTAATTCGTGGCCTCAGTATAGATATTTGCGGTTTCTATGTAGTGAATCGTGGCCTAATATAGTAATTTGTGGACTCAGTATGGTCATTTGTGGCTTATACGTAGTACATTATGTTCTCAATATAGATATTCATGGGCTCAATATAGTAATCTGTTGCCATACCTTATTAAAAATAATCACCATGTCACATTAGGGGCTCCATACTGGAGAGAAAGAGAAGATACTTAAACACACCACCAAATACTGTTTAGGTTCAGTTAATGGAATTCCTGTACTCTCCTGTTCATATTGTTTGGTGTACCAGAGGTGGGTAGCTAGTTTCATGAGCCCTAAAATAAGAAAACAGAACCCAACAAACATCACTTCTGAGACTGATAGATGTCAGATGAAGCTCTCAGTGTGCAGTTCTTGTGTTGATGTTGCTTACAGAGGTAGTTTGGAGCTCTGTAGTGAGTGATGCGACAGAGAATAGGCACGATGCGCTTGAGCACTCGACTGCCCTGCTCTGTGAGTTTGCGTGGTCTACTGCTTTGTGGTTTGGCTGTTGTTGCTCCTAGGTACTTCCATTTCACAAATATAGCACTTAGAGTTGACTGAGACAGATCTAGCAGGACAAACATTTGACAAATTGACTTGTAGCAAAGGTGGTAACTTTAAAGTCACTGACCTCTTCAGTCTTGCCCATTCTGTGGAGATTGCAAGGTTATAAGCACGACTGACCCAGCTCATGGGTCAGAGAATAATAGGGATCAGATAACATTAGATTTGTGTGTACTTTCCATTTCTTAGAGCTCATTTGTTACTTATGCACACACCTAGTCCACTGGGCCTCTTTTTCTCTTCTAAAGTTTCTAAATGTGCTGCTAGGTGAACAATAGTGTTTTATCTTTCCAACGTTTTGCTTCTCTTCCTGTGTGAAGCGCTTTGAGATTTTGCAACTAAGAAGTACTGTAAAGGTAATCTATAGCACTTGAATAATACATACATACATACATCATCTAAACCACTTATCCTTCTGGGTCGCGGTGGGGTGCTGGAGCCTATCCCAGCTGTCATTGGGCGGAAGGCAGGATACACCCTGGACAGGTCGCCTGTCCATCGCAGGGCAGACAGACAGACATACACAGGCACACACACACTCACAGCTAGCGTGTCCAATCAGCCCGACTACTTGTTTTGGACTGTGGAAGGAAACCGGAATACCCTGAGGAAACCCACGCAGACAAGGGGAGAGCATGCAAACTCCACAGAGAAATGACCCTGGTCACAGAGAAATCGAACCCAGGTCATTCTTGCTGTGAGGCGACAGCGCTACCCACCGCGCCACCGGTGGGTGGCATCCAGACTAGCTCTCAAAAATATCTATCACAAACCAGCAAGCTTTGTCAGTTCTGGCAGTCCGATGACTTTGACTAAATGGCTGTTGTTTTTTAATAGTATTGAAGTGCTTAGTTATAGTAGTAGTGTTACGTGGTGATGTCAGTTCAATCACATGTAGGTAGTAATATTTGTATTTTGACTACTTAAAGTTGCACTATGTAGGCAAAGTTTTGTTGATTTGGAGACTTCTCTGGCAGAAATGTGTAATTGCTTGTAACATGTCGAAGAACATTTTATAACATTAGTTAGGACCCCTTCCCTAATCGAATGAATCTGATGATTGTGAACATGTTGGAGTATTTAGAGAGAACTCAAAGCTTGGTGTCTTCTGAGGATGTAGGTGAATTATCTACCATTGTCATCATTTCTTCATTTGTATAAGGTTGATTTTGCATTTGAGACCTAAACATCAATCTGAAGCTTCTTTTTGAATCTGTGCGTGTGACATTAATACGTAAAGACGTGTGACATGGTATGAAAAACTCCTGTGAAAACCGACATGACACCTCTTTCTTTTAAATTATTGTTTCTGGCTTTACAGGGTGACTTGCAGCAGTGCACACACCATATTTTAGCATATTTTTGTTTCTTTTGACTCAGTAATGCTACTTATTTCAGTTTTAACAAAATCATCCTATAAAGCACAGCTTTAGTGGCCTAATTTAAAGGATTCATTGACATTTTGGAAAAAAGTGTACACAGGCCCAAACGTAACAGCCGTGGAACGTTTTGTTTGCAACAGTGTGCTATGGCAATGGTTTTTATAAACGGCTTTTTTCCCATAGATAAGCAGCTTAGGCCTAAATAAGAGTTCTTATTTGAGCAATTCACTAACTAGTACTTGACACACCTCACAGATCCATTGGCTGATGACTTGAATCAGCCGTGTTAGATTCAGGTAGAAGAAAAACAGAGCCATGGGGTGTCCAGAACTAGGGCTGGAATCCACTGGGTTAGACTTAGACTACCCAAACTGGCTGGAAAGAGGTGTCGTCATCCATTATTTGTTCTCATGTATGCTGTTGTGCTTATCCATCGTTTTTGTAGAAGCACATAGCTCATGGCTTGATTCCTGCCGCCACCATTGCCCCCCGACCTGCTGTCCCCCGCACCCCTCCCCCACGCAGCCCCAACCCCTCACCAGAGAGACCCAGGTACATACACTCATCACACTCCTTCTGTCAGCCTTGTCTCTGTTTCTCTTCTTTCGTCATCCATTTTACATTTTCTTGGACCTTCATTCTTTTTCTTCTTACTTTTTTGTTCTCTCATTCTTTTAAAAAAGCCTTGTTCTCCATAGACTCTTTTGGCACGACTCACGTCAAAGTCAAGTCAAAACTCAAAGATGCTGAGCAGTTCTGGACTTGGAGTATCGCTGTCCTGCAAATTTTAGAGTTTCTCCTGCTCCCAACACTCCTGATGCAACTAATGAACTAAGTTGCATCTAAACATTTGAATAAAACGTCCTTTTTCTATCTCCTTTTCTTGATTTAGCCATGTGGATACTCCTGCTAGTCAGCTCTGCCCTATAGATTTAGGACATAGATCAGGCAAAATCAAGTAAAGCAGATAGGAAAGGAAATGTCATTCAACTATCTGGATGCAGCCCTAATTAACAAGCCCTTCCTGGGGTGAACTGGGTGTTTTAGATGGTAGTGATACTCCAGGACCAGGAGAGCAACTATTTTAAAATACCAGTGTGAACTGTCCACACTTATAAGAATAAATGTAGTAAATTAAACCTAAAGAGTGCCATCGAAAAACCACTTTTGGTTTCCTGAAAAACATTTCATTGGACAGTTATAAATAAGATGTGCGACTGTGAAGAACCTTTTTAAAGTTTAAAGAACCACAACATAATTTAAGGTTCCATCAGAATCTTCGAATATTGAAGTAGTCCTGAAGATGTCTAAAAAAACTGTAAAAAAAATCCTGTAAATTAGGGTTTTTGATATGGAAATTAGCTTCTCTCATATTAAAGAACCATATATTGTCTGAACTTTGAGAAAAGTGCAGAGGCTGCTTTTTATTTTTTGGAGTTTCTTATCTGCTTAGACCAAAGAGGAAAGCAGAGAACCAGTACTGCATCTGTCTAAAAGCTGTGCATCACTGTGCCGGCAGAGAGTCTCTGGCTTTGCAGATAATATAAAGTGTGGAAACATCACATGCTGGCACATGCAACCATTATTCTTCGGTGGTCAGTGTGGACACTAAGTTTTAGTGAAATTTTTTTAAACTGCTGTCTGCAGCATTTTGAAATATTGCCTCATCACATGGGATGAGTGTGAACTAGGCTAAAATATCTAATCTAAATGCTGTTGTGTTTTGATCTTTAGTGTGGAAAGGTATTTCTTTGGAGGTAATTGCTTTATTATGGTTTTCTTAAGTAAGACAAGGCTGTATTTGGATCATGCTACTGAATTTGTTCAAAGTCAAAGTTGAAGACACAGTTTGGACTTTTAAGTTGACTTTTTTGGATTTTAGACTAAAAACTGACTTGGGTATTAGACTTTTTGCTTTGAGTGAACCTATAACTTAATTATGTTTATGCTATTAAAGCAAATGATTGAACATTCCAAAACAGTCATAACATGACCAAAACTTTGCCTAATGTTTCAGTAATGACTGTTTCGATAGTGACGGTTTTAGCTAAGTTTGAGCAGAACTCAAAATGCTAGCCAGTACATGACTAAGAAAACGCAACTTTGAAGTGTTGTACACAGATAAAATAATAATAATTAATAAGATACAATAATATTTTTCATTGAAACACAAAAAACGTTTACTTCATTGCAGAAAATGTGTTTTGGTAGTGACTGTTCTTAATGTTACATGCCAGGGTGTGGCTAAAATAAGGCTCCGCCTATGAACTAAAAACTCTGTGTGTTTTGGTAGTGACATGAAAACGTGGAACAACATTGAATAGCTTTTGAAAAGTTTTTTTTAATTTAAAAATTACACTCATGATAAATGTAAATCTTTCAACTTCATTTTCAAATAAAAAAGATCTTTAAAAAAACAAAATAAATTTAAGTAGTATTTTCACAAGTTAAAATTTAGGGGTTAGGGTTTGGGACAGTAACCCCTTAATAGAAGGTACCCTATAAATTATGATTTTGTAATATATTTAATTTATAACAATTTTTATTGATATCTTGGGTTTAACCCCTATATGGCCAGGGACCACCGGTGTAATCAAAGTTTGATTACACACTTCTATAACCTAAGAATAGCTTTTTTTGTTATTGCGGTTTAAAATTCATTAGAAGCGTCCATGTAATTGTATGGGTGAGAAGTACATAGTATCCAGATCATGTCAGCATTGGTGTACAGTTATATTTATTACTGTGTATGACCTCTGGAACTGAGCAGTCTCTCTTGTCTCAGGTCTGCTCTGGCAGCAGCCATATTATCGTCCTCATTGACGGGACGTACGGTGGCCATCCCTCCACCTCGCCACAGATCCTACTCTGAGAGTGACTGTTCACACACAGACAGCCAGACGGGGTTTGAGCCTTATGCCAGCACTGCCCTCTACACCAGGTAAACTACAGAAATGTATGAATTAGTCCCAGATCATTCAGTTCACCTTACATGATTTAGAGGTTTACTTGAATCAGTGATGATTGTGTGTCTGTTTGAGCTCTATAGCAGCATAGCAGTTCATTAAACTAGGACAATTACCAGAATCAGAATAAGAAAGCATGCTTTATTTCCCTGTATGGTATTTAATAGTAAGATGTTCTGGCATGTATCTGATGTTTTTTCTTGGTGGGCATAGAACAAATAACACTTAACATACAAAAAACATAGAAGGCACAGAACATGTGAAGGGTTTCACTGCAAAACGCATTGTAGACCATTTTAAAATGTCTTTTTTCATGATATACATTGATGAGGGAACTTTAGACATACAAGAAATATCAGTGCTACATTATGGTTAATGTCACCTTTATCAGATAAAAACAAAAAAAGTATTTTCAGTTTAAGACAGCTGTTTTTCTTTTCAAAAACTTGTTATACAAAAATTGTTACAAATAGATGAAACACACATTTTCTAAGCCGTTTATCCGTCTGGGTCGTGGGGGTATGCTGGAGCCTATTTTTTAAATGAAACTTGTCACAAAATGTATACTTTTTGTAACAGGGTTAAACTTTCAAAGTGACCAAAGTATCACAATATCACTGTAAATACAGAAGAAAAAATATAAATTGTACATTTTTCTAACCTATAATAGATGATTTATGATAAAAGTACATTTCAAGCTTGAAATATATTCACACATTAAGGCAAAAACAATACTGTTTTTCATTTTACCTGTATTTAAGATGTCTTACCTTTACATACGTAACTATAAATGTAATGTCAGTGGGATACAAATGGCATTCCAGTAGTTGAATCACCCACTAGCATTGAATGATGAGAAACTTTGGCCCAGTCCCCCAAAAAAAACAAAACAAAACCTTTACCTCAGAGGTCCAGTCCCTAATCTAGTCCTGATAGATCAGGTCCGGCCCTGGAAAGCCACGCTGCTAATTTGTTGAATACTTCAGGTGTTTTAGACCAGGGAAACCGCCAACCTGTGCTCTTGTCTGCCTTTCTATTCCTGGAATTGCCCATCCCTATGTTAATCTCCATTGCAGATTACTGTATGCTTGTAAAAAATGTCCTATAGATGAAAGATAATAATCAAGTAATCGTATTGAGAGCAAAGCAACAAGTTGGATAAAAGGAATAATTTGACAGAAATTCTAATTTACACAATGTTCCCCATATATACAGATGGTCAGCCAAGACATGTTTGCTGTGTCTGCTTTTGGAGCTACGATGCTAATATAGCTAACAAGTAATGGAAGTTTATACTCCTCCAGAGAGCAATGTGCAAAAAAATAGGCAACAGTATGTGACAGTGTGTGTGTATATATATATATATATATATATATATATATATATATATATATATATATATATATATATATATATATATATATATATATATATACACACTGTCACATACTGTTGCCTATTTTTTTGCACATTGCTCTCTGGAGGAGTATATATATATATATATATATATATACATATATATATATATATATATATATATTTATATATATATTTAGGCTCCGGCTCCAGCTCCCCCCGACCCAGAAGGATAAGCAGCTTAGAAGATGTGTGTGTGTGTGTGTGTGTGTGTGTGTGTGTGTGTGTGCAATGTAGAACCAGATAACCCTGGTTCCTATAACTACCACAGTAAAGTAATCTGAGTCGATAGGTTTCTTTATAATGAAGTGCATCACATCACACCACTCAGAACAACCTTGCCAAACTACTTTACTTTTGTCTTGACCATAAATAAAGCTCTCATTTCTGTCCTTTCAGAGATCAATGGCCAGACTCTATGGCAGGCCGACCTCGGCTGCCCTCTCCACAACCTGATGATGATGATGATGATGATGAAGAAGAGGAAATAGAAGAAAACATAGAGAGAGATGAAAGCCATGTGTACCAGTCACTAGAGAGACAGAGCAGAGATCCGGATACCGATGCTGTTTATGCCACACCTCTAAAAAAGGTAGTGTTGTATGGTTTTTCCCTGATTTTTTTCGATAGGCTTTAGAGTTTTAAGGCATTAGGCACAAACATCCTGTAGGTGGCACCAGTTGTCCTCTAGTTTTGTGCTTTCTATCCCGCACAAACTAAGAGCATTACATGCTGTTTTGGCTTAGTGTCTGTGCTGTGGTTTGCCCTGTTGCATTCATGCAAAATGCACACAGTATATTTAATGACTATAGCTTTGTAAATGTCTCCTCTAGGGCTCTTCTCGCTCACATGTGGACGATGATACTGACAACTCTGCGTTTGATATCGTCTCTCCTTTAAACACTGAAGGTGTGTTCCATGACTATTAATGCTACATGTAATGTTTCATCATGAACACATGTGCTTATGAGATGGTACAGTATAATTTAAAACACCCTTCATTTATTTAATTTCCAGTCAAAAGTACAAGTATTTTTCTGTGTCAGGAAAAACATATAATAAACTAAATAAATTATTTATCTGAAGGGTTTTTCCAAAGTTCAGTTTTAGAAGTTGGTTATATTTTCTGCTTCTCACCATCAAAGTAATTCCACATACATTCAATGATGCAAATGAATTATCTTGTATTTCTTCAGAAATAGCTCCTAAAAAAAGAAGTTAATATTCTTTTAAAATATATTTAATATAAATTGCAGATAATGGTCACTTTGTAGTTCTACAGTTACAGATTGTGGTCTGTTTTTGTGCATACTTTGTTAGCCCCCTTTTACACTGTTCTTCAGTGGTCAGGCCCACAGAGCAGGTGTTATTTGGGTGGTAGATCATTCTCAGCACTGCAGTGACACTGTCGTGGCTGTGGTGGTGTGTTAGTATGTGTTGCACTGGTACAAATGGTTCAGACGCAGCAGTCTTGTGTTTTTAAAACAGTATCTGCTTGTCCACTGTATTAGACACACCTACCATCTGTTGCTGCACGGTTTCGTGTTGGTCATCCTCTACTCCTTTGTCAGTGGTCAGGGGGGCCGGAAAAGTTAGGACGCTTCTAAGGGCCTGTGACTGACAGGTGCCCTAAAAATAATTAGAACATTATATGATTTTTTAAATATTAAGCTATTAAAGAAAAAAAATACCTAATGTTTTACCATTCACATGAAATGGTTCAGTCCTGCCTCCAAACCAGACGCAAACAGTACTTACTAGCAGTAAATTATGAGTGAGGAGTGCTGGTGGAGCATCATGTCTTAGCTTCCTAAAAAAATTTGGCTTCTGAAAACTAAAAGAAATAAAAAAAAAGACAAGAGAGCGGAAAGAAAGGCAGACAGTATGTCACCCAGTTTTTTTTACAAAGAAAGGTGGATGTAGTCTGTGAGAGGTGGAAATTAACCTGTTAGTTTAATCCATAGTGAAATAGGCTACTTCTGCTCCCCTAACATTATTCTCAAAAATTCTCAGTGTACATTTCTCTCTTCTTTTAGCTGACATTTAATCGATGCAGGCAAACTTTTAGCACACTATTCATACTAAATCACTCTGGGCCCAACAGATGCAGCTGCAGGCTCAGTAGCCCTGTCTCCCCATCAATCCCCATACATCTACCAGTGAATCAACCTTGTCTCCCCATCTCCATACCCCTGTCAATGAACCAGCCCTGTCTCCCCATACCCCTACCAATGAACCAGCCCTGTCTCCCCATCATCCCCATACCCCTACCAATGAATCAGTCCTGTCTCCCTCTCCCCATACCCCTACCAGTGAACCAGCCCTGTGTCCCCATCATCTCGATACCCTTACTGATGAACCAGCCCTGTCTCCCCATCATCCCCATACCCCTACCAATGAATCAGTCCTGTCTTCCTATCCCCATACCCCTACCAATGAACCAGCCCTGTGTCCCCATCATCTCGATACCCTTACTGATGAACCAGCCCTGTCTCCCCATCATCCCCATACCCCTACCAATGAACCAGTCCGGTCTCCCCATTATCCCCATACCCCTACCAATGAACCAGTCCGGTCTCCCCATCCATTTCCACACCCCTATCAATTAACCAGTCCTGTCTCCCTATCATCCCCATACCCCTACCAGTGAACCAGCCCTGTGTCCCCATCATCCCCACACCCCTACCAATGAACCAGCTCAGTGGCCACTTACAGTGGTGGGGCAAAATGTGATATCTTTTCATGGGGCCCCTGTCAGTGGTCACACGTCACTATCCACATGACACTGTTGACTGGATATTTTTGGTTGGTGGAGCAGTCCAGCAGTGACACTGAGGTGTTTAAAAACTCCAGCAGCACTGCTGTGTCTGATCCACTCGTACCAGCGCAACACACACTAACACACCACCTCAGTGTCACTGGAGTGCTGAGAATGATCCACCACCCAAATAATACCTGCTCTGTGGTGGTCCTGACCATTGAAGAACAGGGTTAAAGGGGGTTGACAAAGTATGCAGAGAAACAAATGAAATACAGTTTGTAATTGTAGAACTATAAAGTGCACCTATAGGGTAAGTGGAGCTGATAAAATGGACAGTGATATATATATATATAGTGTTCAGATAATAAAAGATTTTGTTGAACTACACTTTAGAAACCTTCTGTGAAACACACCCTAGGCTTGAAAACTCGTGTAATTTGCATGGCTTAATGACTGTAATTAATAAAAATGTTCTGTTGCAGAGGAAACAGACGTGGAGGAAGGAACAGCCAAAAAGGTAAGAGAGGCCCCTGCGACCTCATCCCTTCCGTTATAAGCCGTTAATGTGATTAATTAAGTTTATTTTTTGTGTTTGGAGCTCATTTCCCGACACTGCAGAGATGTCAGGTATGGCAATTCTGGGGGCAAACTGACCTTGAGCTGCAGACCAGACTCTACAAGGACATACACATGAAAGATAATGCAGGAGGCAGGGGAGCGATGAGAGAGTGAGAGAGACAGAAACAGCCACTAGAGAGACAGAGAGAGGAAAGAGAGAGAGAAACTCAGGAGGGGAAAGAAGAAAGGAGAGGAGGATGTTTGTGAGAAAGGATAAGGGAGTCAGGTAGTGTTTGAGAGGAGAGATATTAGAGACAGACAGAGAGAGAGCGAGAGATACTGGAGACAGCTTTGGTCCTCTCTGCATTCCCTGCAGTGGTTGACTGGAGGTTATTAATATCCCTGTCATGTTTGCTAAGAGGCTAACTGAATAGCGGACTGAAACAAGAGGCTCTGACGGTCACTCCAGCTTACCAATCAGGCCATTAGCTAACAAGCATACACATACTCGTTTTTATACAATGTCAGGTTATTATACAGATCCTGTATAAGGACCTACGGTACTGTGCAAAAGTCGAAGACCACCCTACTTTTGTTTAATTTCCAATCAAAATGGTCAGTAAGTACAAGTTATTCATTTTTCTGAGCATATTTTTGAGGGGAATAGATAACTTTCTTAAGGGAGGGGCAAGTCGAAGGGAAAGAAGTGAAAAAACTGGTGATTCCAAAACTGGAGCTAAAAATATTAAAAGATAGAGAGAAAATAGGACTGCTAACAACCATGCAAGACCTGGTAGACCACCAAGACTGTCACCAGAGAAACAGTACTCACAGCTTTCATATTTAAGAGAAAATCAAGCTCCACTCTTGCTTCAGATACGAAAACATCCACAGGTGTTTGAAAAAAAAAGAGAAAAATTTGTGAATCAGACAAAAGAAACTACTGGTGTTATTAGAGCAAAGGAAAAAGTATTATATTTAGTTATTAAGGCTTCAGTGTAATTTTCTGTGAAATGTTTTCAGTATTTCATCTTGATAATGAAAAATGAATAACTTGTGATTAATGTACAAGAGTGTTGACAAGATATCAAATTAATGAAAGGTAGTCCCTGACATTTACACAGTACTGTATTTATAAGAAGAAATTTCTAAGCTTAATTCTAAACTTAACTGCAGTTAAAAGGAAAGGTACCTTCTTTTTTTAAAAAATGAAACATACAACTTTAAAAAAAGACCATTTTGCATGTCTTGACATCGTAAGTTAGTTCTGTTTTTCTCTGCTTTTCCTACAAAATCTGGACAGTATTGTCCTCCAAATGTATGAAAACAAGTACACACATTCACAGAGCACACAGCTGTCTTGTTGCCTGCTGCCCAGACTTATTACTCTATGCCTCAGCACCCAAAGCACACTCATTCATACAAATGTTGAAAGCCATTAATGAAAGAGCTCATTTCTCTCCTTTTTATCCGACTAGATGAACATTGGTCTTCGGTGAATTAGAGTTGAATTAGCCGTAATGGCAAAGCCATGGGGGGCTATAAATGTTCCATTTAGAGTGCAGCTACTGTGCAGCTATTGTAACCATCACTGCTCTCTAACCTCCACATGCTTTTAAGTGTTTCTTTCCACCAGTGACATACTCCAGTCATCATCATTCCCTCTGTGTCCACAGCAACCTCCATCGCCACTGCAGGCAAGGCCCCCATCTCGCAGAAGCATGGCATCTCCAGGTAATGCAGCTTTGTTCTAAATAATATTTAGTATTGGCTATGTTCAAAGTGACAATATTCTGAATGTAGGTGAAGGTTAAACCTTAATGAATTGTTTGACCTCCTAGTGAAGCACCAGATAAGAAGGTGGCCACTTACCGAGATAGTAGCTGGATATTTGTGTCCCTGAACTGAACTATCTACCAAATGAACCACAGCTGATGAAGTACAAAATCAAAAATGTGTTCATTTCAGCAGTAACAATCAAAATATTCCTCTAGACCAGGCATGTCAGACTGGGGACCTTCCAGGCCAAAGTGCTCAGGAGATTAGCATTTACCCTCATCAAATGCTCTGAATTCAGTTCATGAAGCCCTTGCTAATTAGCTGATAGGCTGAATCAGGTGTGTTTAATGAGGTAACAACTAAATATAAGGTCACATTTCTTCAGTATTTAATTTGTGTACCCTTTGCCTTTATTACAGCTTTCATTCTTTTCATGTTCCACTTCTGTCTTAGAAGTTGCATTTTCTACTCTTAGACGTTGGTTGCATTTTCTACCTCTCACAATCCAAGTAACCCCAGACACATTTAATGATGTGAGGTCATGACTCTGGGGTGGCCAGTCCCTTGGTCTAACCCCAGCAGCTTCTCTGTTTGATTTACAAATTTTCTGCTTTTTGTCTATTTCCTTTTCTCAGTAACTGCTACTTGAGTTGTCTTCTCACAGTGGAAAGATGGACAGAAAGACCTGTGGATTTTTTCAGATCTGAAGCAACAGTGGAGCTTGATTTTCTCATCTGCAGTTAGATCATCTTGTGTCTAATGTCCTCAGAAATATCTCCTGAAAAATGAACGATTTTTAATACCAGTTTTGACTAGAAATTAAATAGTTGAAAGGTGGTCTCTGACTTTTGCACAGCACTGCAAGTTGTTAGTAATTTTCCTCACTTCTCTTTATATTATTAGACCAGAGGTGTCAAACTCATCTTCTAGGCCCACATCCCTGCAGAGTTTAGTGTTTACTGTGTTAACGTGCTAATTGAACTTATGAATGTTTTGGTAATAAGCTGATTTGTATCAGGTGCGTTAAATCAGGGAAAATGGTAAACCAGTAGGGGAGCTGGTAGCCTAAAGGCATAAGAGATATGTGCTAGCAACCAGAAGGTCACGGGTTCAAATGCCAGGACTGAAAATTTCTGGCTGTGCCTTCGGGCAAGGCATCTAGCCTCCCACTGCTCCAGGCAGTGATACTCTGCTGGTGATGCTGCTCTTTGATTGGGCATAGTTAGGCAGCAAAATAACTTTTTTACCAAATTACCTTTGAAAGCAGATCAATAATATAGAGTGCCTTCCACAAATATTTGCACCCCTGGTAAACAAGAGCAAAACAGGATGTAAAAATCATTTTGTATTGATAATCTGTTTGATCTTTCATTCACAATATTTACAAAAATCTAAAGTTTATTTGAAGTAGAATGATTGAAAAAAAAAACTAAATCTTATAATAAAATTAACATTTTTCTAAAAACTGTGTGTGTTAGATATTAGCACCACTAATTCTTATGAGTGAAATCTAACTGTATGTTCCCATTTGTATTTTATGTTTTAAAGTTATTATGAAAACTAAATATGTTATAGGTATAAATATGAGGTGACACACAGACCAAATTCCCTCAGTCATCCATGATTATGAGAAAGACCAGAGAATACAGCAGTGATGTGCAACAAAATGTTCCTGAGCTACACAAATCCTGAAGAAAAGCCTAGAAGAAAATAGCTAAACAAAAAAAATATTCCTCTATCATAGCAATGATCAAGAAGTTTGTAGCAACCTGAGATGTTACAAAAATACTAGGAAGAGGGCTTATTTGTATATTGACCTCAAACACAATAAGCAGGATGGTTCAGGTGGGCTAAGAATCTCCAAGGATCACAGATGGAGAATTGCAGACATTAGTTAGGTCTTGGGGTCAGAATGGCTCCTAAACTACAATCAGACTCCACCTACATAACCACATGTTCTTTGGGAAGGTTGCAAGAAGAAGGACAAACGAACTCGAGGACAAACGAACTTAAGCGCCTACAGTTTTCTTCCACAGGCCCTGAACAACTTGTTCGGATATGTTATATCATGGACTCAAGTACCAGGAGATATAAATCAAAACCTAAATGCCTCAACCAGGAAGCTGGGCCATAGCTGATTCTTCCAGCAGACCTCAAAATCAACACAAAAAGTAGTTCACTGACCACAGAATCAAGGTTTTGCCGTGGCCATCCCAGTCCCCTGACTTAAACCTTATAGATAACCTATGGGATGAGCTGAAGAGGACTGTCCGCAATGGTGACCCTTGGAACCTAAAGGATCTGGAGAGATTCTGTATGGAGGAATGGTCTCAGATCCCTTGTCATATGTTCTCCAGTCTCATTAAGCATTATAGGAGAAGACTCAGAGCTGTTGTCTTTGCAAAGGGAGGCTGCACAAAGTATAAAATGAAGAAATGCCAACAACTGTGGCACACACAGATTTGAGAAAATTATTTATTTTATAAAATATTCATTTTTTTCTTTTAATCTTTGTACTATGGTAGTCCATGAAAGAACAACTGGCCATGCTCTCAATGAGTGAAAAGGATAGCTAAGTTGCTCTTCCCTTAACCAAGCAAAGATTGCTAACTGAGAGCTTCTGTTATACAGAATTAAGCAGGTACAGCACAGCGTGTTCAGTGGGGTGGATGACATGATATGCTTATCATGATGTGACATCACTATAAGCTTTTCTGAACATACTATTGGTTTAATCAGTGCTTCTGCATGTTTCATTAAAGAGAGGTTTAGGCTCCTTAGTGTCGTAGCTAGTAGGGTTTCACCCTATTTTAGGGGTATTCAAAGTTTAAATCCTGAAAATGCCAGGACCCCAAGAGATTATAACTGACTCTGTGCAATTGGAAGTAGTGATGCGTAGTAAGTGCAATGGGGAAATTAGAAAAACCTGCAGTTTTCAATTTCAGAGTTCTATTTAATAGTTTTGGCAAAGTTTTAGTGTGTTACACTCTCAAAATGGTTCATTAAGGGTTCTTTAGTAAAGGCAACAATTATGTATAAAACTGTTAAAACTCAAAAAGCATTTGAATGCATAATTAAGTATCATGATGTTATACTTTTACCATATTGCAAACCCCTTCTGTTCATCAACATTGTGCAGTCGGCCGTTTGAAAAAAATGGAGTGGCTGGCTACATACAGTACTGTGCAAATTCCAGAGAACATCTGTCATTTATTTCCTTTACAATCAAAACAACCATTCAGTACAAGTTATTAATTTTCAGTGTCAGGAAAAAGCAAGAAACATATACTTGACAGTAAATTATGCAAAAAGCCTTAACAGCTAAATATAATGTATTTTTTTGTAGTATTTAATTTGTCTACCATTTACCTTCATTACAGCTCCTGTTCTTTTCAGGAGACTTGCTTTCAGTTTTTTAAAGAATTCTGCAGGGGTATTTTTTCCACACCCCCAAAATTCAGTTTTAAAAGTTGGTTACATTTTCTACTTCTCACAATACAAATAATCCCAAACACATTCAATGATGTTGAGGTCTGAACTCTGGGGTGGTGGGTCCCTTGGTCTATCCCCAACAGCTTCTTCTCTGTTTTCTGCTTTTTTGTCTATTTCCTTTTCTCAGTAACTGCTACTTGAGTTGTCTTCTCACAGTGGAAGGATGGACAGAAAACTTGTGGATTTTTTCAGATCTGAAGCAACAGTGGAGCTTGGTGTTCTCCTCTCTCTCAAAGATGAAAACTTTTAGTACTGTTTATCTGATGGGGACAGTTTTAGTGGTCTACCTGGCCTTGCACGGTTATTAGGTCCAGTTTTCTCTTTCTTTTAGTTATTTTTGGAAATCCAGATTTGGGAACTTTTCCTTAGATTTTTCCCTTTTCCTAATGCAAGTAGATTGTCTTATATCAGACCTCATCAGAAATATCTTCTGAGAAATGATTAACTTGCCATTTTCACTGGACTGTACGTTGCGGAGGGCACACGTTAGTGTTTAATGCAAAGAGTTTAGTAGATATTGTGCACAATGACAGGTCACGATAGTGTGAGTAAATTTTGCCACTATGAGAAAATCAATCAAATGAATAAATAAACAATTGACAAACTGTTCAGAAACCTAACGGTTACCTAATAATAGCAGATGTAGAACATGACGTTGTTAAGTAGAGGCTAGTAGTGGCAGTTCTTGAACTGATGAACAGCCTTTCTGATCTGGTTTTGATGCTGATTCGTAGCTACTGAATGTGGCAATCCACTTGATTAACAGCCAGTTGTTAATATGTGAGACTGACAAGCTAAAAATGACTTTGACTCATTACAGGATCTCTTTAAGGTAGTGAAAGGTTTAAACATGCAGTCTTTGTTCAAAGGAGCAAATTAAGCAAATTAAACTTCTCAGTGAGGTCAAATCCTCCATTCAGCCTGAGTTAGAGAAATGAGGTGCCAAGTCCATGAAATCATGATAATAGCCTGTGTGCAATTTTCTACAAAAGCGTCAGACAGTGGTACACGACGTGGCCCATTTATCATAGGCCAGCCACTCTGGTGTGACTGTTTCAGGCGCTAATTGTCGTCAGTACTGGACTTTTCAAAGGGGAGAAAGAGACAGACTATTAGGGAGGAGGAGAGTGGGATGTTTCTGTCTAATTCTTCTATTTCATTTAAGCATTTTTTGGAGTTTTTCTCCACGTCACATTTCATTTTTAGGCTACTATAAAAAAAGATGTAGACAATGGGCAAAGAAGGAATGGGCACACAAAACCTACTGGTTGTGGAAGAGAGAGAGAGACCTACACTGGCACTTTATGTAAGCCGCATGATTGTTTCAATGCTGAGCTATCATGTGTGCACAAGAGTGCTTATTTTTGGCCAGAAAAATAAGTTTTCAGGAGGGGCGAGCTTCTGTAGTTTCCAGGTTGGTTCTATGACAAATTGTGATACAGTTTCAAAGTTGTTTCATAGTTTCATGACTGCAGGGCACCAAAAGGCCCAGAACCATGAAGGGAAGTGTCATCTCTTAGGTTTATGTAAAAAATCATAACTGCCCGAGGCTGTTGTTGGATATGAAGTTCAGTTCCCTTGCAGACTCCCCTGGAGTGCTTGCAGAGGTGCTGCAAAAAATGTCTGTGTTTCACAGTAGATAGCACGCTGTCTATTTGAAATGGTGGTGGTGTAGTTCACTGCCTTGTTTCAGGCAAAATTCCCATACATCTCAAACTTTTGCACCACCATACTAAGAACTAAGCAAACGTTGTCTTCAGCAGATTTTAGGGATGAAACAATATAAAATCATGACTGTATTCATGTCATTGCACAACCTGCTAATGAAATTAGCAGGAGGCTGGAGCTGGAAGTGTGCTGGTGTGGGTTTAGTGGGAATGTGCTGTTTGGCATTCAAAGTGCTGGTGGGAATGAAGTTGTGAGTGTGTATGGCTCTTAATGTGGTGCAGTCAGTGAAGTTAAGAATGTGCTGCACGGCACTGAACATGCACGTGTGGGTTAAGCTGGGAATAGGCTGTATATCACTCAGTGTACTGGAGTAGGTTAAGTTGGGAACGTGCTGTATGGCACTGACCATGCTGGTATGGTTTAAGTTAGGAATGTGCTATATGGCACTAAAAGTGCTGGTGTGGGTTAAGTTGAGAATGTGCTATTGGCACTAAAAGTGCTGGTGTGGGTTAAGTTGGGAATGTGCTTAATGGCACTGAACATGCTGGTGTGGATTAAGTTGGGAATGTGCTATATGGCACTAAAAGTGCTGGTGTGGGTTAAGCTGGGAATGTGCTGTATAACACTCAGTGTACTGGAGTAGGTTAAGTTAGGAATATGCTGTATGGCACTATAAGTGCTGGTGTGGTTTAAGTTGGGAATGTGCTGTAAGGCACTGAACATGCTGGTGTGGGTTAAGTTGGGAATGTGCTATATGGCCCTAAAAGTGCTGGTGTGGGTTAAGTTGGGAATGTGCTGTATGGCACTAAAAGTGCTGGTGTGGTTTAAGTTGGGAATGTGCTTAATGGCACTAAATGTGTTGGTGTGGTTTAAGCTGGGAATGTGCTATATGGCCCTAAAAGTCCTGGTGTGGGTTAAGTTGGGAATGTGCTATATGGCCCTAAAAGTGCTGGTGTGGGTTAAGTTGGGAATGTGCTATATGGCCCTAAAAGTGCTGGTGTGGTTTAAGTTGGGAATGTGCTATATGGCACTAAAAGTGCTGGTGTGGTTTAAGTTGGGAATGTGCTATATGGCCCTAAAAGTGCTGGTGTGGTTTAAGTTGGGAATGTGCTATATGGCACTAAATGTGCTGGTGTGGGTTAAGTTAGGAATGTGCTGTATGGCACTAAATGTGGTGTGGGTTAAGTTGGGAATGTGCTGTATGGGCCTAAAAGTGTTGGTGTGGGTTAAGTTGGGAATGTGCTGTATGGGCCTATAAGTGCTGGTGTGGTTGAAGTTGGGAATGTGCTTAATGGCACTGAACATGCTGGTGTGGGTTAAGTTGGGAATGTGCTGTATGGCACTAACCATGCTGGTGTGGTTTAAGTTAGGAATGTGCTGTAAGGCACTGAACATGCTGGTGTAGGTTAAGTTGGCAATATGCTGTATGGCACTAAAAGTGCTGGTGTGGGTTAAGTTGGGAATGTGTTATATGGCACTAAAAGTGCTGGTGTGGATTAAGTTGGGAATGTGCTTAATGGCACTAAAAGTGCTGGTGTGTGTTAAGTTGGGAATGTGCTGTATGGGCCTATAAGTGCTGGTGTGGTTGAAGTTGGGAAAGTGCTGTATGGCACTAAAAGTGCTGGTGTGGTTGAAGTTGGGAATGTGCTATATGGCACTAAAAGTGCTGGTGTGGGTTAAGTTGGGAATGTGCTGTATGGCATTAAAAGTGCTGGTGTGGGTTAAGTTGGGAATGTGCTTAATGGCACTAAAAGTCCTGGTGTGGGTTAAGTTAGGAATGTGCTGTATGGCACTAAAAGTGCTGGTATGGGTTAAGTTGGGAATGTGCTATATGGCACTAAAAGTGCTGGTGTGGGTTAAGTTGGGAATGTGCTGTATGGCACTAAGAGTGCTGGTGTGGTTTAAGTTAGGAATGTGCTGTATGGCACTAAAAGTGCTGGTATGGGTTAAGTTGGGAATGTGCTGTATGGCACTAAGAGTGCTGGTGTGGATTAAGTTGGGAATGTGCTGTATGGGCCTAAAAGTGTTGGTGTGGGTTAAGTTGGGAATGTGCTGTATGGCACTATAAGTGCTGGTGTGGATTAAGTTGGGAATGTGCTTAATGGCACTGAACATGCTGGTGTGGGTTAAGTTGGGAATGTGCTGTATGGCACTAACCATGCTGGTGTGGTTTAAGTTAGGAATGTGCTGTAAGGCACTGAACATGCTGGTGTAGGTTAAGTTGGGAATGTGCTGTATGGCACTATAAGTGCTGGTGTGGATTAAGTTGGGAATGTGCTTAATGGCACTGAACATGCTGGTGTGGGTTAAGTTGGGAATGTGCTGTATGGCACTAAAAGTGCTGGTGTGGGTTAAGTTGGGAATGTGTTATATGGCACTAAAAGTGCTGGTGTGGATTAAGTTGGGAATGTGCTTAATGGCACTAAAAGTGCTGGTGTGTGTTAAGTTGGGAATGTGCTGTATGGGCCTAAAAGTGCTGGTGTGGTTGAAGTTGGGAAAGTGCTGTATGGCACTAAAAGTGCTGGTGTGTGTTAAGTTGGGAATGTGTTATATTGCACTAAAAGTGCTGGTGTGGATTAAGTTGGGAATGTGCTTAATGGCACTGAAAGTGCTGGTGTAGGTTAAGTTGGGAATGTGCTGTATGGGCCTAAAAGTGCTGGTGTGGTTGAAGTTGGGAATGTGCTATATGGCACTAAAAGTGCTGGTGTGGGTTAAGTTGGGAATGTGCTGTATGGCATTAAAAGTGCTGGTGTGGGTTAAGTTGGGAATGTGCTATATGGCCCTAAAAGTGCTGGTGTGGTTTAAGTTGGGAATGTGCTATATGGCACTGAACATGCTGGTGTGGTTTAAGTTGAGAATGTGCTGTATGGCACTAAAAATCCTGGTGTGGGTTAAGTTAGGAATGTGCTGTATGGCACTAAAAGTGCTGGTATGGGTTAAGTTGGGAATGTGCTGTATGGCACTAAAAGTGCTGGTGTGGGTTAAGTTGGGAATGTGCTGTATGGCACTAAGAGTGCTGGTGTGGTTTAAGTTGGGGATGTGCATTGTCTCATAAGCATTGTCTGATTTTTGCAGCACCATGTATTGTTTCACCTCTCCAGGTTTTGCATTCCACAATCAGTCTGATCTGCTCTAACACTGATTTTTAGAGCAAATCAGGGTCCCAGTTTAGATATACAAAACTAGAAATCAAACAAGTAGGAATGCATTGATCACAAATTTTGGCCAATTCTGATTTCTTTACAGCCAAATTGGCTGATGGCAGATGTTTGTTTATTTATTTATTTATTACCGGAAGCTTATATGCTGTGTGGGCTCAATCAATAAATAAAACACACTAGCATTTACACTACTTTCTAAACATTACTGCTCCTTAATGGGCCAAACTGACATTTTAAAATAAGTAAATAAATGAAAAATGAAAAGTAAGAGGCCTATTCAAAAAAAGTCCTAAAAAGTAAGAGGTGACAGGCTGTTTTAACATAATGAGTCATGCATAATTAATTATTCTGGTATAGGTGTAGCAGCTTTCATATAAGTTATGTAATTTACATCAGAATCTAATAATAAACTGTCTAACTGCTGATCACATGTTTGGAGGGACATTTTTTTAGAACTCGGCCACTCCCGCAAAAAAAGAGTTAGGAGTACAGAACAGCTACTGTGATAAGTAAAAATGAGGAAATACACTAAACAGTGGGGTATTTTACACGGCAGGATTTCGTGTCTTTTAACTCTCTTAATTGACAGACTTGATTTTTAGTATAAGCTATGGGAGGAAACCCAGTGAGACACTGGGAGAACAAGCACACAGAAAGGACACTGGTCACCCGGTCAGGGTATCAAACCCAGGCCCTTCTTGCTGTGAGGCAACAACACTACCCACTGCACCACTGTGCCCCCCTTGTTTGGGAAATCTTGATTTGTAAAATACCCCCCACATTCTTGAAAACAAAAGTGCAAAACATGATTCTTAGAGCAGAGCCATAGAAGAACCACTTTTGATTCCTTAAATAAACTTTCCATAGTGCTTTATTAAATGAGATGAGTAAATGTGAAGAACCTAAAATTAAAGTTGAATGAACCTCCACATAATGGTTCTATGCCTATTAAGCATTTTTGCCTAGAAACATACGTTCGAGGCAAGAACCATTCAGGAAACTTTATTTTTAACTATGCAGGTGATGATTCAGTTATACATATGATCAACAAGAGCCATACGTTCAGATTTATCCACTCACTCATTCACTTATTTTCTGTCAGATCTGAATGAAGACCTGAGCGCTCAATCCCCAAAGTCTCTGACCACCAGCACTCCCAAGCGGAAGACCTCGATGATGAAGCAGAGTCCTGCCAGAGGCAGAGAGCAAGACAGCAGATCAGGTGAGAGGGTGCACAGGGGGTCATGAGCCTTAAACTTTGCCATCAGTTATCCCCAGCAGCAGTGCTTTGCCAGTGCTTTCAGTGGCAGATACATGAATGAAGGATAAAACGTTTTGCCGTTTAGTGGTAACTGTTGAGACATGCTTTCATGCACTGATTTTAAAGCAATTGTTTGGCCAAAAATCTAATTTACATAAATTTCCCCTTACCTCAAATGTAGTCGATCAACCAAGATATGTGTGGTGTCTGACGTTTCATTGGAGCTACAAGGCTAAGGTAGCTAACAAGTAATGGAAGTTTTTAGCCAACAGTTTAGCATTTAGCATTGTGTGTCTTGCCTTTGTGGTTTCTGACTCTTTATGACATAAGAAAGCATAGAAAGTATGTTGCATAGCTTAAAACATTAGTAGCAGCCATCTTAACTTAAGGTTTGTACTTACTTTTGTAATTTTGTGTAATTTTTGTAATTTTGTAATTTCATGGATGACAGTATCTCGTACTGTTTAGGAAGCCACACAAACAAGACTATTAACATGTCTTATTTGTCAGTTGAATCTTTTTTAATCAATACAAAACTCTCTGAATGTTAAATAAAGTAAATAAGTAGCTAAATATTTTAAACATTCAGCATGCTTCAAATGGAAGTTTAACAGTGAGATGATGCAGTCTTTTAAGTTAGCTTAGTGCAACAAGCAGCAGAAGCAAAGTTTAGTTTCCCTGTTTTTTTGTGCTTGACACTGTAAGAATTATATACTTGCATTATCATTGCTTGGGTATTGCCATACTGTATGACCCCCTGACGCCAGGCTTAGGTGTAACAAACTGTATTAAATTTGAAATTTGTACAATGTTTGTACCAACAAGTTTAGATTAGGGAAAGACATTAGCTTGGGGACATTATAGATATTATTAAAGTATATTTTCAACCACGTAAAATCTTTAGACAATGAATTACTTATGTAAGCAGCCATTTGCTGACCCTCTTGGCCTAATTATTCCCATGGGTAAGATAAATTGCTGAACTATGACCCCAAAAATGATCCTGCAGCCTCCTGCTCTGCTAATTCCCTTTTTATTCTCATTAGTGGCTGCCAGGGCTAACCTTCCAACCTTTATGCTAGTAAGCATAGGACGTAGAACCCTCCATGTATACATTAAGCTGCATATGTGTGAATGCATGTGTATGTCAGTTTGTATGTGTGTTAATCAATGCTAATATTATGGAGTTTCGACATTTGAGTTGAGTGTGTGTGTTCGCAGCTGAGCCCAGTTGAAGTCATGCCGGTGGCAGGAGAGCTGCAGGGTCTGTTTATGGGGCTGCTCCTCTGGCAAGCTGCTATCACACTGACTGTGAACTTTACAGCTGACTTTGACATTAAAGGATGGCTTACAGTCAGTTTTCTGACATGCCGCTGGCTGCAACAACACCAGCCATTGTCGCTTATCGTGGCGACATTCAGCTTAGCACAAAGGAGGACACTCGTGAGGATATTCTTGTGTAGGCTTAGAGCATTGGCATTGACATGTTTTAGTAAACCAAATGTGGGGCCATGCATTACTGTGATTTTATCATGGGAAAGGGTGTTCTTATTTCTTTTATAAAACGGCAGACACCATAAAATATGATAAAATCCACAATTTTTCAGTAAATAATTTGTTGTTATTAATAATAACCAACATAACCAAGTACTCTGCCAAGAAATGTAGTTCCTTTAGAGTATGGTATTGGTGCCAAACAACCATGGACCGCTGAATGAGGAGAAGAACGTTCACCCATCGCTTATAAACTTTCGCTTTATAAGATCTTTTTGTACCACTGTGAGTCTTATTTAGCAACAAGCTAATGGCGACACTCCTCCCACACAGGGGCTGAATCTCAAATGGTTCCCTACTCCCTACATAGTGCACTACATATGAATTGAAATACTGGCTCCTGCACCCCAACAGTACATAATATAGCTAAAAACAGTTATTTGGGATTCAGCCATATCCATACTTGACATGTAGTGCACTATTTGGCTGTACAAGCTGGAATTTCAAAGCTTACATGGTTTACTATTTAGGGAGCACAGAGCCGTTTGAGATTCAGCCTGGGTTTGATGCCACTTAAGGCAGATCTGACTGACATTCTTTAGACTTTTATATTGCTGTTTTACAGTGTATTATATTGTCAGTACTTTAATTCAAGCTTGTGATGGTTGTTTAGTATGTTTGCTATCTTTTAGCCTGATGGCTAGCTGACCAGTCTGGTTCTAGTTAGGAAAATAAGTTGTCAGGCTGTCAGTTTAAACAAAAACGGGTTCATACTTCACCAGAACACTTGGTGGTCTGTACAAGCGGCATTAGCTTCCATTAACAGCACAAAGATTTTTCGTGAAATGGTGCAGAAATACAGAATTTAGTTGTTGTGAGGTGGTCACAGGTGTGAGTATTTTACAACGGCTTTGAATACAACAAATGAGATTTTATGACTGGAACTATCCATTTTAAAATGTGATTGAATAATCAGCAACAAATTACATTTTCACAGATTAAACTAATTTTACCCTTATCTATTTGGACATTTTTTCACTGAACATCTAAAAACAAGAATGGACTCAAGGGGGAACCAACAAAACTTACAGTTATAGTTCTAGTTTATTTGCCACATGCTTTAGAGATTTTTTAGGAACTGTCATAAGAACTACAAATAGCAATTGAGCACATTGTCTTTTTGGTCATTTTATGCACCTCTGAAGCTAATTTGGCTAATTACTTATTACTTTCTAGTTAGCGTTACTTACTGTCTGACATGAAACAATATACTGTGCAAATATACTCTAATGCTTAAATGCTTACGTTTACACAGCCTCTGTTGGGTGTGAAAATATATGCCAAAACAATTGTTCTGTGGAGGCTAGCCTAAATGCTAATAACGATTGCTTCCTAACTAGATTATATCACCTTAGCAAACTCTGTACAAAGGAATTATTCTAAAAAGCGACACATCAACATACTCTTCTACTTTACATTCTAGTGAACTTTTTTAGTGCTGTAATAGTGCGTGGTGACTTTATCCTCACTTTGAAGAGTAAATGTTTTGCTAAATTGTTGCTGTCTTTAGCTGCAAGTGACAGGAGAGAACAACTACCATTAGGTCCTATTGGTACCAATCTTGAACAGGTACCAAAAACTAGAACATTCAGCAGTGGAATGATGGCCAGTGGAAAAAGTTCCCTGGTGCCAAAGGGTTTAAGTACTTTTGTACACTGGTAACATGCCTTTTATGACTAATTCATACGTTGGCGCTTCATGTCTGCAGTTTGCGCCATGCTAATTGGTGCAGTATAAGTGTCCATTAGTGTTCTAATTGTTATATAGCTGTAAGAGAAGTTGGACATCGTTGATCCATAGTCTTTCTAGCCTGCGAATTTTAGATTATCAGTTATCCTGCCATGCAGAACTACATTAAGACAAATTAATGCACAGTTCCGTGGCATTCATCCATTCTCTCTCCTCTCCCATCTGCTCAGCTCTCTGTCCATCTCTTCTGTCTGCCTTTGGCTGAATTGCTAATTGTTGTGCTGTAATTACACTGTTCTGATTTGTTTTTGCTTTGTTCTGTTGTGCTGTGTGTGTTGATATCTGATATCTGACTGTGTAGGATATCTGTAGGAATATCCGTTGTGTTGTTGGGCATGGTGTGTTGAGTGTTTTTATGTGCTCGATTATGTATTTATATATGTTTTCAAGGTGCTGCACTATGCTATGTGGTGTGTTGTGCTGTGTCATTCACTATGCTGTGTTGTGTTGTGCTGTGTCTTCATGCCATGCACTCATGTCGTGTCATATGCTGTGTTGTGTCGTTATGGTGTGCTGTGTTGTGTTATGGTGGGCTGTGCTGTGTTGTGCAGAGGCGAACGAGGCATACCGCAGTGCTGTGGAGCTTCAGCAGAAGCTGGTGCAAGAGCTGAGGGAGCACAATCAGGCTCTGGCTGCAGAGAAGGAGGCACTAGAGAGGAGGTGCTCAGAGAAAAGCCAGCAAATCCTGCAGCTTCAACAGCAGCTCATGCACTCCTCTACAGAGAGGAGCCACTCTACAGGTGGGCCTAAACAGGCCCCACACACACTGCACTAGGCCCTAAGACACATACACACATGAACACATGATCCTAAATATGAATACACACATATAAATCCAAGGGGAACCCTTGGGCCTTTCACTCCATCAGAGAAGGCTTAAGCAGGGCATATGTTTTTTTTAGTTTTTCTCTTTCCTTTAGTGTGTCATATAGCTTGTTGTGCTTGTAAATGATCTGCAAAGTCACAAAGCCAGGTAGTAACTCCATCACTTTTCTCACCTGCCTGAAATGCCTTGTTGGAATTTCAGCCCTTTTTCTTTAAATATTAAATAAATATTGTAAATGTTATTATTTTTTAAATTGTTTATTGCAGATGTTATGTTTATTTTTTTCACTTCAAAAATCAACGTATTGTGTAATTTGGCCAGTGGTGCCCAAACATTTGCAAACAACTGTATATTACATATACAGCATTTGGCAGGTACTCTTGTCTAGACCAACTTACAATTTCATTTTCCACAGGTAGGTGAAGTTAGTGTTAGGAGTTCTGCTTGAGATGGCTCCCACTACGCTATACCACCCAAACTGTTAACATGACAAGCTTCAAATGCTCTTGTTTAATCCAGAACAGCCAAAAATGTTATACAGTGTCAATTTCCATTAGCTTAATGCTAACATACTACTAGAATCTCAAAGGAGTGCTACCGGAAAATTCAGAGCTGTTTTTTCACTCATTTAGACATTTATGGTCCAAACTGAAGACCTAGCACTAATAGTCATGGTTTACCCCTGATAAATCTATAATATGACAGCTGTTACGGTATATCCTGTATCCATGTATTGCTTTAAAAATGACTCACACATACACGCTCACACAGTGCTTAAATCTTTTTTTTTACTGAAGATACACATGAGTGTCTTCCTTAATGTGAAGGTGTAGTATTGAGTTTTTAATAGGCAGCTTTGTGTGACTTTGCAGGTTGGAGAGGTTTGATGCATGATTGTGCACTTGTGTGAGTGAGAGAGACTGTAAGTTGTTGTGTTTTTCATTCTTTTCTATAAATGAGACACTTAAAGTGTTCCCTGTGTGTGTGTAGGTGAAAGCTCTGAGCTGCTGAGCCTGAGGCAGCAAGCGCAGGAACTGGTGGATGAAAATGACGGGTTAAAGATGACGGTACATCGGCTCAATGTGGAGCTCAGCAGATACCAGGCCCGTTTCAGACCACTCACTAAGGAGGAGGTAGGACAGTAAGAATATTAACAACAACTGCTAACTTTCATTTGGCGTAGTGTAGAACTTCTCCACATTTGCTGAACATAATGTGAGACTTTAAACATTTTAAAAAAAAATGAATTTGATGTGAAAATGTGTGTAGATCAAGTTCCAACCTGACATATGACATTTCTTATTGGCAGTGCCAGTGTGATGTGAATACATGAGCCTACAAGAATGTACTGACTTCTTATACATGACATAAATCTAAACTGTCCTTTGCCATAACAACAATTTACAATTAAAGCTAAAGCGATATGTGAAATCCAAAATCATTTAAATGAAATTCAATTTAAAGTCTTTTGTCTTTTTCTTTTAAAAATTGCATGGGGAATATCGAGGCTATCCTAAAGCAGACAGACTATGTGATGAGTGACAATTTAGTTATTTATTTAGTTGCATATTAAGGGTAAATTAACAAGCTACAAAAAGACACAGACATTTCATTCACTATTGAGTGATTGCTCCGTTTACTTTTCTCAAGGACCAAGAAAGCCAAGCATTGTGGAGCGAGGCTTTCTCGGTATGACTGGCTCACGAGCTCATGAGTTTTCCCCAGATTCCTTTTGGCATTTATACATGTACACTCTGTGCACTTGTGTTCACCTGAGTCCGTAAAAGAGGAGATGCTGTAACTTTCATGTGTTTATTGCTTAAAATTTTTAGATGCAGTTTAGCTAAATGAAGGGTAGAGTTGAAAAGCTTGTTTACATCTATGATCATTTGTGTTTAGTGGCACATCTAATTTGCATGTATATATTCAAGCGTGCTTGTTTTTATGAATCATTTTGTCGAACTTTATTAAACATTACTTACAGACTTAAGTATGTTTTACAAGTGAAACCCCGGGTCTTTTGGTCAGTCACAACAATTCTTTGTCTGGGACAACTCTACTTGTAAGTTTTGACTGTTCTTGAAGTTTTTGTGAATGTTTGCGTCCCCAGTTGGCTTTATTAATTTATTCACGTTCATGTTTTCCTGCATGTGTAACTGTATGCATTATGCATAAACTACACAAAAAAACATTTTAGTATTGAGTGAAAGCAACAACTCACTCAGTAGTACTTCCAAGAGTTTATAAGACACAAACACAGCATAGACGGTGGTGAGAACAACTTTCTGAGCCCTTTGGGATAATCTGAAAAGTATATAGCTGATAATATTGATAACAGTTTTGAAAATTACTTTATGACTGCCATAAAATTAAAATATTGTGTTTCCATTGCAAGCCAAAACAAGGAGTGTCTTGAGTGAACACAGGTGCAGCAAAGCAGCTAACTATGCTGTCTTGTTATAATCATTGCATGATCATTAGCTTACTACTCTGCAGAAGATCCACGTTGGCTTATCAGAAAAGCCCGCCTCCTGGAGTGGACCCTTCATTACCTCATATAAGAACGTATTTCTGCCTGTTGGTCGTATACAGAAATATGTTCTAATGTAGCATTCGAGCTGATTTTTTTTCTGCTTTTTAAAATTTTTACCCAGTTACCTGAATGCACTAGGAGGATAATGCTAACTGTCCAGTTCTGTTACATCAGCTAACAGATACCCACATTGGCTAGAATCACATGATGTGGAGATGGGGCACCTCTACCCATCCAGAGAGAGAGAAGCCAGTTATGCTGTCATGGGATTGCTGGGGATCAAACTCACAATCTTCTGACGATCAGGCCAATGCTTAGACGATTGCCCATTGCAAATATTGTGTGCAGCTATTCCTAAAAAAAACTCAAAGCAAAAATACAAGCAGGAGAGGTAGCAGTTTACAACAGCAGTGAACTGCAAAGGCAATATGCAAGTGCAATAGTCTGTGTCCCATGTGCGAAGAAATTTTTGGACGGGTTGAGGACTAATGCAACTGTTTCTATTCTACTGCCAGCAGGTTTCTGATATTTACCTTTGCTAACTAGTGGAGCATCTTTTATTGTCAGTAACCTCAACCACATGCTTTCTGTAGCTGCTCATCAGTTCTGTGCCACAGTTAAGAGATATTTGGGCCCAGTCCTAATGAGTCCTAAAATGAGGAACAGGTGCGGGTGATTAATAGTGAGTGATGCCAGGGCGGAGCTGGAGCAGGAAGGGCCAGTAAAGGCTGGCAGAATCTGAGGAGAATCATGGGGGGAGACTCCATGCCCTCTGCAACAAGAACTATAGCATTCATTACATAAAATACATAAAAAACAACAACAACAACAAAAAGAAAACTTGGAGACACCTGCACAATAAGGTGAAAATATCTAAACTATTTGCCTTCATTAACAATTCATTTTTGTTGAAGCTTAAATCTTAATTAAAAGGAGCCTGTCCGATATTATTAAGCATAGATTATTTAGAGAAAGAAATTAATTAGGACCTGACCAGTGTGAAAAATGTTGTAGCCGATAAAATAATAAAAAAAATCAAATAATCAACAGAAACAAAATAATCAAATAGACAACAGAAACACACAGTCTTAAATATTTACAAATATTGTAGCACTGCAGGTGGAGAAAATACTTACATTTGTGGGTTTCTTCGGTTGCTCACGCAGCCATCTTGCCGGTTTTTCTTTTTTTCTCGTAACACTCCGTTTGGAGTGTGACTCTGAAAGACCTCAGTTTGAAGGGCCATGTAGCCCTAACCTTTCACCCTATCCCTCTATCTCAACAAAAATTGGGACACCCTAACCCTAGACGTGAATGCGCAAAACAGAGGGCTAAGGGCTAAGTGGTAGAGGCGAGGGGTGAAATGGGTTTTGGGCCTAAATATCAGTTTAGGCCTTAATATGAATGAATAAGTATTCATAATAAATAACTACTGAAACAAAGCCGAAATCTTATTGTGGCTGCTTTGTCTCGTCTCGGCCATTTAAACTTGTCATCCCACTCTGACCTGAAGCTAGCTTTTTTTTCAACAGATGTTTCTATGTGACATTTTAGCTGCAAACAGTATCTGCTTTTATTTCTGTTGGTCAAAAACCCGTAATTACTTGCAGAGTGGATGACGGTGGTGTGGGGAGGTGGGGTGGGCAGCGTAATCTAGAGGTCAGCCAGTCCTCATAATCAGGGAAAGAGAGAAATGTGTGTCTGGCTCTGAGCTATTTGTCTGATACAGGCCCATTTTTTCCAGAGACAAGAGGGATTGGACTGAGAGGTGACATTACAGTAACGATATGCCGCTCTGCCTTTCATCTCCGTCTGCCTGATTAATGCATTATAGATGATAGTTTGCCTGGTATTATAATTTCAAAGCAGCATTAACTTGAGAGGCTGGGCTGATCAGATTTTTCAACGCGGAACTTGGAGACTGCATTAGACTTGGCAGGCGATTCTCTTCTGGTCCTATAGAAGAATTCCTGTTTAATTATGATGCCATTCTCTGTCTTTCGGCTATAAGATTATTACATGCTACATTGAAGATGGCCTTGGTGAGAATGCGAATGTTGCTGAGATTGAATGTATTTTAAATTAATTGCTTTAATTGCTTAGCTGCACCAGTGCCAGCGGTATCAGTATTAGTGATGGAGATGACGATCCACAAAGCAATTTCGGACACCCATGCGTGCATCGGCGTGCATGTAGACAGAACTTAACAATGACACACTGGCGGTGTGGGTTGATAATCAGCAGTAAAAATGCTCATGGCAAAATCTGTATTTCAGGTATTTCAAGAGAAGGCAATGGTAGTGAATGATATGCCGGTTAGTTTTACTGCTGCTGCTGCTGCAAAGAAAGTCAACAATGCACATACAGTGTAAAACACTTAACAGGAGACCCTTACGTGAATGGCTGAGCCAGCCTTCTTTCTGTAATCCGTTATCTCCCACTGTGTAGTCAGTTACAGTCTGAGTTATTGTTAGTCCAGGTTGTTATCGAGGGAGCGAATGTCAGAGGAACATATAGAAGGAACCACTGGTCTCTTGGGGTTTAGCATAGCCGCCTGCTAGCCAGGCTAGTGTGAGGCTCTGCAGTACACCGCTGTTGGTCAGCTATATCACACAGCAGAATGGTCAACCCATCCAAAGACTTTTTAATTTACAGGCTTAATTTATGTTGTTGTGTCTTCTTTGAGCACAATTGATGTCTTTTTCCCTTTTAAAATATACACTGTCACATTAATGTACATAAAAACAGATGGGCTGTCCTGCTGCCTGCCTCAGTTTTAACCTGGCATCTTTCTGTATAAGATTTATTTTAGATTAGTTTCTGAGACTTTTTGCTCAAGCAGCTTGCACTACAGCACACTAGCCCTATTTTATGTGCTCTCTCAGGAGTATAGCAGTGAACTGAAGTATTTTATGACTGACAGCTGAAACCATAATCGCTGGCAAAAAGGTTTAAACATATATTGGAAGGTTAAGCTGGCTTAACAACCACAAAATGCTTCTCTGTGAATCTGCACACATCAGAGTACCTTCTCCTCCTCCTCTCTTGTTAAAATATTTCTTAATATCTGTTTTGTACCTGCAACTACAAATTATTTCCAACTAGGAGAAAGTAAATTCAGCCAGGACAGCTTTGCTAGTTATGTGTAGTAGCTAGATAACTTCTTCACAAGTGCTGCGGTCAAATCAACATTATTAGTAATTCAGCAGATTACACTGGACATTGTGGTCTGCTGAATGGATAAACTAACGTCAGCAACAGCAAACTGGAAAGCTACATTTCCTTTCAAAACAAAATGTAACAGAGCATTATGAGAGCAAGAACAGTTGGAAACTGCGTTCACTCCATATACATGTTCACCCTGCATTCATGTGATTTTCATGTTAAGGTTTATTGTAATCCTGTGTCCTCATTAGTTGTGATGAATTATTTTGATTAGATTTTTTAAAGTATAGTATTATACTAGTATGACTAGGAAGCTGTATTTGAAACGAAAACCATTAATAAATGGCCTTTAAAATATTTTGTATTCATGTTGGAATTTAGATCATTCACAGCTTGTAAGAGTTTGAGTGTGTTCAGGACACAGGATCGAAATTG